TTCCGCAACGCGATGTATCGGGTATTTTCGTCGAAACAAGACGGACATTTGAGGTTTAAGGATATTCTCAATCTCTGTTCGGCCTTCTCCGCGAATTGTCCCTAGGGCATTCGAGCAGCATGGGCTTTTGAAATTTTCGGTAAGCTCGCAAACGCAATTTAATCTACAGACTTTTGTGTGCTCGGAATTCTAACTTTCGTCCCAACAAATATTTGCAGTCCACTATCCTACGCGCTCATTAAACATATTCGCGGACAATGCATCAGCCACTAAAAATATAATTATAAAACTTTGTTGCGTTTTCTAACAAAAAATCTTGGTATTATAATATAGTAGTTTTCTGAAATATATATGCGCAAATATCGCAAAATGCGCGAAACATCTTCAACAAAGTTTGACAGAGCGATACTCATATTAAAAACTTGGTATATTTTGTATATATAAATAATTGTTCCTTTCAATTTATAAATATCGATTTAATATATCATTTCAAAAATATTCTATATAAATAATATAGAAAGTATTCTATATAACTTTACTTATACAATAATACTAAAAAAATGAAAATATATATGACTAAAATTCTCAAATATAAAAATAAGTGTGCTTTTTCGTTAAAAAAGAGAATAAAAAAGAAATTAACGTTTTTAAAATTAATTTCTATTTAATTCTATACACTATAAAAAGTATTAATATTGCTAATATTACTATAGAAAGTATATGAATAGTATATAATAAAAATATTAACATAAACCATACAAATTCGTTAATCAAGATCGTTTAATTTCTTCAGATCTGTTTATCAATTATTGTAAAGATAGAGTCGCGATCTCGCAGTAATCTGTCGATACGGTTGCGATTCTGTTCAGATAACTTAAATGATGTTATTTATAATATAAAATTTAAAAAAGTATCAATTCACATCATTTTGAGCCCGAAGATAATCTTTTTAGCTATCGTTATGTCTAAATTTATCTCCTCTATATTTGATAAATATTAAACTTATTTTAAAATATATGTGACACTTGGGAAATAAATGTACTATACAATATAATAATACACACATATATATATATATATATATATATATATATATATATATATATATACAGGGTGTTCGGTAACTAACGGACCAACGATCACAAATGGATTCTTTGGTCAATTTGGGAACGATTTTTCCTCAGCAAAAATGTCAAAAAAGGTCATCATTTTTTACAACTTTCCAATATTTGTCATTATGTATCTTTATAACTAAGCCTCAAATTAAAATTGTATTATAGTAAACTCTACCTGAAATTAACTGAAGAATGTAATTATGTTAGACTTTGAACTCCAAAACGTTTAGTTTTCAAAAAACCCATTTTTTTCAATCGCTTATAACTCGAAAATTATTGACTTCTCAACATTTTTGCTGAGGAAAAATCATCATCTTTTCACCTACCCTACAACCCCTCAACGGTTGGCACCGGAGTTCCCGAACACCCTGTATATATATATGATTAATCTCGTACTTGTAAAATTCCAAATAAGAATTTTATATATAATTCTTCTATTTAAAAAATCTAGATTATTATATGCACACAGTGTCTGATTAATATAAAATTATAAAGATATTATGATTTATGTTTATTAAAAAATTGCAAAAGATTTTTCTTGTTATATCGTATCTTATTTAGCTTTATCTTTTACATCTCAAATTTATTCATCAACGTTGCAAGATGCAATTCGTTTCAAATACATGAATATGCAAACAACGGCCATGACTGATTATCTTTATTTTTAGATTTTGACGGCGACAATCAACTCTCTCTCTCGACGATCTAATCGAAACGATCCAGAGACTGGCGGGCTCGAATGAGCGCGAAAAGGCCCGAATCGATCGGCAACGTGCGGAGAACGTAGCGCGAATGGTCGGTTGTGCATTCCTGCTGTGCGTTCTCGACAAAGGACGGAATCGGGAAGCGATTAATCCTTTTGCCGAAAGCCGCTTTCTGTTGCAACAAATTTCCGGTGGCGGTTGTTGATTCCGCGGCAGAAAGTAGGTGAATTGAAAGGAACTACCTTCTGTGAGGTGAAATTAATTCTGCAAAATTGTACTCGCGCAATATTTAAAACCGGAAATTACTTTTAAAATCGTTAATTTTTTTTATCCCTTTTTAACGAAAAAGCAAACTTATCTTTATATACTATAGTATTGAAATCAATAATATTCTCATATTGTTTAGTACCATTTTTCTCCTCTTCAAGATGATACGAATTTTTTTAATAAGGGGAAATGAAGAAGAAAGATTAATCTTTAATACATCTTATACTTTCTTTTCTTTCTCTTTCAATCTTATATTAGAAAGATTTCTATCAATTCTTTTTGATTCACCTATTTTTTTACAGGATCACAATGAAACATAGATTATAATAATTTACAATTTTTTCCATGATACTTATTTTTCAGATATTACAAGAAATGGACCTTTCTGAGCAGCATTGTAAACAAGAATTTGTACATGCGCTCTCAAAAATAACAAACTTCGCATACACCTTTTAATTCAAAATTTAATAAAATTCTTTACTTCTAATTTTGAAGTAATATTTTCAATAATACTGAAAGAAAGCTTCGTCTTTTTCGATTTTGCCGAAACTTTACAATGTTGTGTATTTTTGTGCGTAAAACACGAACCTGTAAATTGTCGTCTTAAATAGGAAATATGTTACAGTGGATTTTATCCTCCTTTCTCCGTCGAAAAGGAGTGAATTTGAATTTACAAATTCGTGTCTTACGAATAACAAAAATAAAAATACACAGTATTATAAAGCTTCGGCAAAATCCGAGAGAATTTTCATAAAATTATTACCCAAAATTTAAATAAAAATTGATGAGACTCACCGATACGATGCACAGCATAGTTGGAAATGTAAACTCTATAAAATATAAATAGATGGAAATTAGTCAAATTATAGTAAAATTTAAAATAAAATTGATTTTAAACAATTTGAATTTTAAAAAATAAAATTATTATTTACATTGAGTGTTTTATTTGATTTAAAATAGATATTTAATTAAAAACATTACATTATAATAAAATTATTATTTACATTGAATGTTTTATTTGAATTAAACAGATTTAATTAAAAACATTACATTATTTTTAACAAAATTTTTAATATAAACTTTTTTATAAAATTTGGTAAGTAAAATTAAAAATTTTAAATAAATAATGTAAATAATTTTTTTTATAAACATGTAAAAATATTTTATTAATCTATCGGATTTATATTGAATCCTGGACATCAATAATGAGAAGGGAGGGAAAGGGCGGTTCTGCAAAATTATATATGTATAATTCTGTGCAATTGTAAGAAAAGTGCAATTTTATACAGCTAATGTATCAGAAAAAAGTACAATTGAATTAAAACAGAATAATATATCACACAAAACTGAATTATTGGAAAATATAATTATATTAAAAAGTATATATTAATTAAATTATATTGAAAAGCATTTTATCCAATATAGATACATACATTCAAAAAATGAAGAATAAGAGCGACATGTTTTTCGATTTCTGAACTTTTTATATAGAATAAAATATCGTAAATATTTTATATTCTTCTTATATATATACATATCTTATATATATCTTATATATATACACGTATATGTGTGCGTGTATATATACATATATTAATATGTATCAATCTACAAATCAAAGGAATCTTTATTCATATTAAACAATTTTACTTTTCTTGACATTTCCTTATTACAAGAATATATTTTATATAGGCAATATTTATTTTCAATAATTTTATTAATAACTTACTTTAATAATTGCGGCCATGGTTATGTAGAATTTATTCGACAGAATTATTGCATTATGTGTCCCGACAAATGTCACGATGGTCGCGCGAAATTCACTCGACGGACCTGTCGTACTACCAACGCGCCGCGACAAACGTCACGATGGTCGCGCGGAGTTCACTTGACGAATTGTCGCACTACCGACATGAAAACAATATTATAATAATAATTCGACAATTGCTCGATACTTTTCTCGATACTCCCGACATTATAAGATTATTTGCAAACAATATTTACTTTTGGAAACTAAATTTGAGCAGTTAATTTGATGAATAACATTTGATGCATGTCGTCGCATATTTACACTACATATGTATAAATATAATACAATAATCGCCCGAAATACTTATTTTCGGCACTCCCGATACTAAACATTTATTTGGAAATGATATTTATTCTTAATAATATGAAATTATATCTCAGATAAGATGAGATAATAGTAACAACTCTACTCTACTGCAGCAAATCATAATTATGGTTATAACGCTCGCAACAGTAATCACGGATCAATTAATTCTATTCCTTCGACATTTACGACACTTACGACACTCGATCGCGACACTTAACGCCCGATCGCGATTATATCCGTACGATAAAACTCCGATGCCGCAAACCGTAAGTGATTGCGTGCGAAATGGCTGCGGAAACGACTAAATATCTCAACTTCCGACTCGCGGTTCGACATGGCTGCCATGACGTCATGACGCGCGGGATTTAAATGATAATTTTTACTTTTCACGAAATGGTAATATTAAAAATATGCGTACAATATTAAAATTATATATATTAAAAATGCGCTTGTGTTGTGCTAATATTGTATGAAAAGAAAAATCTAGATTTTTAAACGCTTTTATTCTTGTACATGCTTTTTCTCATGTTGTATAATTTTCCTTATATTCCATATTATTAATTTCTTTCCTGATTTTATTGATATTTACAAAAAATAATTTATTTAATAATAATTTAACTTGTATTATCTATATCTCTGTATTGTATAAAATTTAACAAAATTTGTTACATATATTAAATAAATATAAAAAAATTTTGCTTTAAATTATCAATTATAAAATATAAACTTACGCGCTCTATATTTTATACTTTTATATGTTTTCTTAAATATATATATATATATATATATATATGTATATTTGACTTCTTCGCGTAATATGTCATCATTACATAATAAAACATATAAAATCTTACAAAAATAGATAATCAGTCTATAAAAATTTTTAAAACTTTTTACTTTATCTAATAAGTGCTCACCACTATGTTATTTATAGTCTATTCTTGGCACTTATAATTTCATTATAAAAAACATTTTGTTACACATATATGTTCATTAAAAGTAATGATATTTGTTAAATCTCTCTGTATAAAAACATGTTAATTTGTACGTATAATGTTCGTTTCGTTTGTAATGTCACATATTTCAAACATAACATTTTTAATTAAAAATATTATATCTTATAATAGAGTATAAGTTTTTTTTAAATCTAACCCGATGGGTTTTTACGTTTTATGTACAATAAAATCCCAGGTCTCTTTCCATCTCAATTTTATCACATCCTTGGCACTGAGAGCTGATGTTCCATAACTAAATATAATGAATTTCTTGAACACATAGATGATAAACAGTATCCAAGCAATGGTACCACATGTTAGAATGTACAATGAAATGTTCCATAAACGATGAGTACTGAAATAGAAGATAATTAATTAAAATTTATTTCATATGAGATTAAATTATATTATTTTTGTACTATTAAAACATACCCTATTAAATAATACAGATGATCAACTGTGGCTGCTGTTAATAAGACTTTGAAAATGAAAGCTGGTAAGTAATGATGCAAAAACAAAGTTCGCTCAACAAACATAAAAGGTAAGAAATGAAGAAAATATCCAGCCAACAATATATAAGCATTGTTAACGAACTTTTCCCATTCTTCCTCGGCAATGTCAAAGCATTTTCTTCTTCTTCTCATCAAATAAAATATTAATAGCCCCGAATACACGACTACAGAGATCGTGCCAGAGTACCAAATCACGATGTTTCCCAAAAGATGTACTTGTGCCTAAAAATCATATCTTGTAAACACAATTAAGCTAGTTTATAAAAATCAATGAATTTATAATTATTTAATGGTAAAAAATTGAAAATATTAAAATAAAAATATGATATAAAAAGAAGAGAAACAAGTTGAATGCAAATAGAATACGTTTTCATATTATATCTAACGATATCTCAAGCGTCCAAGTATGTAATTTTTCAACTTACATTGCTGTCGTTGGATACCCAGTACGCGATTCCTCGAGACATCAGTGGCCATTCGAGTGGTCCGCTGGAATACATGTGACTGTTTTGACCTTCCTGGCCGCCAAATAACATTTTGATCTGCAACTCTGCAAATTTCTCCCAGAAGCTCAACGCGGTCGCCTGCAAAGGTATCATTTCCGCGCTAATTAGTTCTCGTTCCCGTTGCTTCTGGTCCTCGCTTTTGGTATACCGATGCTCCTCGACGTTCCAGATGGAATTGGTTTGGTCCATCAGCCGATCCGCTACCACCTCGTGCTGATTGAAGCCCCAGTCGGGCAGTTGTCTGCCGCTGAACTTTAACGCAAACTCGGCTCCGTTCGCGTGCACGTGTATCAATCGTACTTGGCTCTGTATAGCGTGCCACGCATCGCCAGAATGATCCCTGTTCGTGATCTCCACCCGCCAGAGATTTTGCGTCGGCATCGATACATTGTAATCGATGTAGCACGATACCTCTTGACTCTGCGGCGTCATCGGGGCCGCGACGTCGTGCGAGTTCAACGCTCTACTCGTGATTCCGTGTACGAGTTGAATCACGTCTCCGTGTCGGATAGGTTCACTGGGCTTCATCACCACCAGATCATTCCTGTCTGGTCTCTTGACGATCCACCAATTGTTAACATCCTTAAATGAGTAACAAGTGACCTGCTGCTGATGAGAGCTACCACGACCGTCAGGATATCGCAATGGATACACATGGTTGTGACTGTGTAGCCAGCAAGCTCTACCGTACGTATGTCGAAGAGTGATCTGTGAACCGTGAGTTACTTCTAGAGGTTGCCCCTTCGTGATACTGGCGAGTCCTCCTTCCAAACTCGCTTGAAACGCGCTTGTCATCACCGAGTCGTGTGGCCCTGCTTTCGAGAGTATCGTCAAGTGCACGTAGAATATGCTCAGGTACACGGTGGCAATAACAGCGATCAATGCAATGAGTCTTATTAGAAGATGGATCCACAACATTGCACTTGACAGAGTCTTCTTTGGGAGCAGAGACCAGTAATCACGAGCGATTAGGAAGAGTGCCAGGATCATCGAGTAAAATCCAACATATTTCACACTACAAAGAAAAATTTTGATTAGATAAACTCAAGAATAAATACGAAAAATGATGATATAAGTAAGATCGTACCATATTGCACATGTTAAATTCGCAATGCCTAATATCAACCATATCCACCAGAACATAGATGTTGGTCGATCCATAATTTTTCGAAATTTTACGATGCACAACAAACCAAGTAAAGAAAATTGCATCAAAATACTTTCCATCAGGACAAATCTAGATTGTGTCAACAATGCATTATCTAAAAAATAGCAATGAATGTATTAGCAAAATATGTTAATAGAAAACATCATGCGTTGAATTCAATAAAATTCTTTAAATTTAATTTAAATCATGCGGATTATTACATATCCACGTTAACTATCATATTAGTATTACTTCAATATATTTATATTATTTAATTAATTAGAAAACAGAAATAAAGATAAGAAAAAAAAGTGTGCTGCAATCTCTTATGCAATGCACTTTCTAGACAAAGTTATCAAGATCAAAGTTACCAAGTAATAAAAGAATTCCACCAATTGCTGCAGCCCATTGTCTCAAGCCCAGTTCTAGAACAAGATGATAGCCCGTGGGGATCAGCAGACTACCGCATATTGCCGGTACCAGACGTAATGCATACAGAGGAACTGTATCGCCATAAGGACTTCCAATTCTGTCAAACTTGAATTGTCCATCAAATCCAGCTAAATATGCCGCTGCAGAAACCAATTGCTTTCCTAGAGGCGGATGAGAGTCAAAGAAGAACGTTCTCTTCATGTATAATCCGACGTATTTGCCATAATGCAGCTCATCGAATCTACAAATTAATTATAATTAATAATTGAAAAACTGAATGGCAACTAATAGCTTAAAATGTGTGTTTCAAGTCATTAGTTATTATTATTTCTCGTTTCATTATTTTACATGTTCAAAAATTAATTTTACTGTACTTTGTATATTAGAAAAGAAATATACTCTAGTTGCTTTTATTAATTGTATATTAATTGATTATCACAAATCTCTTTATCAATTATACAATTACTTAATTGTGTATCACTTTATAATTGTTAAAGATTATTAAAGATAAGAATAATTTCATGTTATCAGCAAAATGCTGATATCTTTATATGATTATGTATTTGTAGATTATGTAATTATAGATTGTTGATTGCTTGATTGCTAGTACTATATGTTCTACATTTCTTAAAAAGTAAATAAATACTTACACTATATTACGTGGTTCCTCAAGGCAATAAAGACGAGTAAAGATGCCTGTAACTAGTAAAATTGTTGCTATCAGATCGATCTCCAAGCTGATCCTGATTCGAGCACGAACTGCATCTTTTGAGACAAGTTGCTTTGAGTCGATAGAATCTGATGTATTTGCTTTCTTACTTCCTATTGGAATGTCTGGTGCCTGTCAATAAAATAGTAAATATTAATATACTATATATAATAATCAAATCTAATAAATATTTGAAGTAAAAAATCAAAGCAGTAATTAAATGTTAATATAGTATATTAGTAAATATAGATAAGGCAATAATAATTTTGATAAAAATGTTGCTCACATCATATTTAAAGACAGAATATCATCATATTTATTTTTCATTATGTAAAAATTTGAAAACTTTCTAATATAATGTAAAATGTGAAGAAATGTCACATTAATGATCCCTTTTAATTTTGCCTTCTCAGATAAATTCAAAGTTATAATTACAAAATATGTTGTCTCTAATATTGCATTTTTGGAATTTGTGTGTTATCAAAATGCATACTAAAGTGCATTCCTCTTACAAAATACCTTTTTAATATTTCTTATCAAAACGATAAGCAATAATCAAATATATATATATATATATATATATATATATATATATATATTATATACACAGGATTGTTAATTCTAAAAATTTCTAAAATAAGTTAGAATAAAGTATATACATGTTGATAGAGAATTGACTTTAATCTTTACATTGAAGTTAAGATTTTGCAGATTCACAGGCGTACATTTTCAACTCATGACTTACAGGGATACTTTTGTATCCCTGTATGTACATATGATTTTTTTTCACACAATTACGTTTCTAAATTTCTTGATAAATTCGCCAAGCTTTAAATATTGCCGCTCACCTCATTCCTTGGATTTCTTGATTGATTTATCGTCGCGTTGACGTCGCCTTCCACGTGGGTGCTGTGTTTGACATCCTGCGGTCTCGTTCGCCTGCGCCGGACTTCCATCGCGCAAAAAATGTAACCGGAAAAGAACGAAAAAGAGAGAAAAACGAGCACTTATTCGATTTTCTGAAGGAAAGGAAAAAGATAACAGTTCTAGATCGACTGACCGCGATTTCCTGCATTCGAATTTTCGCTCGACAAATTTCTCGTTGCGGTCACATTTCGCGATGAAAAACACTCTTGTTCTTAACACGTCAGCTACTAGATGATGCTGGATACTCTCTACCTCACTGTTCAGAATTCTTCAGGGATATCCTCGATTTTTTGAACCGCGAGACGTTTCTTCAGCGAGTCTATTTTCGAGACAAATTACTGATGTGTGATTTAAAGTCCGATTTCAACGGAGGCTCGCCTAGGATTCATCATCCGTCAAGTTTGACATTTGACGTACGAGATGATTTAGATTTTAGGTTAGTGCACGCGAGTTTAACATAACGGTACCGTCTCCGAGGATCCTGTTCAGTGACAGTTCTGCGCATTCCGCGGCAATCTTGCCGCAAGTTTCGAGACGTTTGTTCCTCTTCAGGATTGTAGGGCATTTTATCCTTGCAGGTTTTTCCTCGTCTCATCACTGACATTTTAATCATTTCTTGATTTATGTATTTTCTCCTCTGTCACATGTTTTCTTGTCATTTGTCATAAGTTAAAATTCGTAAACACGTGTGTGATTGTTAAAATTTATATACATTAATAATAATAATAATAATAATAATAATTTTAATTTATATTATTACATATTATTCTTATACAGAAGAATAACACGTGACAGCATGTCCACGCGATAAAAAGTGATCAAATTATTTAAATTAAATGAGAATCTAATTATTTTCTATTTTTCTAGAAAAATGATATATATATAATAAATTTTTATTTATTTTTTTTATTTTATTCATAACGTGAATACATTTTTTGGAAATGATAAATATAATGATATATTACATTAATTATTACATTTTTTTACATGTAAGAATGCATTTTATATGAAAAAGAAGATTATAAATTAAAATATAATTTTAATATAAATAAAAAATTAGAGTTTAATATATGCATATCAATAATTTATATTTCTATTGTTTCTTTACTAATTTATTTGTTATTTTTGTTTCAGTGTAGCTATAGTTAGGAAAAACTTGCCATAAGATTTTCAATATTTTATCATTGCACAATATCCGTTGATGAATAATTTTTAAACAAGAAGTTGAAGACAAAAATTAATATATTATTATTAGTAAATATGGATACCAATAAAATATCATGTCCAATATGTGGCAAGGAATTTGCTTCCTCTGTTATTGAGTCTCATGCCAACAAGTGTTTATTCTTTAATGAATCTGTGAAAGAAGAATCGACTTCATTTAAAGATTCAAGTCCTATAAATCAAAAAAGTTTATTTAAAGATTCAAGTCCTGTTAATCAAAAAAGTAAGTTAAAACCAACAAATATAAAAAAAGCAAATCCAGTGACTTTAAAAAGAAAGAGTTTTTTGGATCAATGTTCTTCCCAGAATTTTCACAAGGATGAAGAGGATGTTAAAAATGACACGCTACAAAAAACTGTAATTATTATTGTTTAATACATAGATTTAAATAATATAATAGTTTGATAAAATATCTTTATGTAATCATATAATATATGTAGATTATAGTAATCAATTATTTTAAAATATATGTCAAATTTTACTTGTATTTTGTCAAGCAGCTTTCTAAAAATACTAAATTGTATAAAAGACAATTTTATATTTGCAGACAAGTAATGAGAGCAAGAAATTGCGTGGAAATGAACGTATACCTCTTGCAGAACAAATGAGACCTACATCATTATTGAATTTTATTGGCCAGAAACATATTCTTGGACCAAGTACTATGTTATCGGAGCTCTTGCAAAAGAAGGAGATACCTAATATGATTCTATGGGGTCCACCTGGATGTGGCAAGGTTTATATCTTTAACATCTTGTGTATCTGTGTAAACATACAAGCATACATTTGTTTTTTTTTTGTTTTGCAGACATCCTTGGCTAATGTCATCGCGCACATATGTAAAAACGACACGAGTCGTAAACTCCGATACGTTAAACTCTCTGCGGCGATGGCTGGCGTCCAGGAGGTAAAGGAAGTTATTAGCGTAGCTGCGAATCATGCTAAATTTGCGCAGCAAACGATAGTATTCATGGACGAGATACACAGGTTCAACAAGACACAGCAAGATGTTTTCTTACCACACGTTGAATCAGGAACCATCACTTTGATCGGTGCTACGACAGAAAATCCTTCATTCAATCTCAACTCCGCATTATTAAGTCGATGCAGAGTGATCGTTTTACACAAATTGTCTGTCGCAAACTTGGTATCAATTTTAAAACATGCGGTAATTTCACTGGAAGGAATAATAATACACATGACGGATAAAAGCATGTTGCAAAGTGAAGAAAGTACTTCAAATGAAAGCAAAATGGAGCCATCCTATAATACAAAGTTCATTATAGACGAACCAACGATAGAATGGTTGGCTGAAACTTGTGACGGTGATGCTCGAATAGCTTTAGGAGGACTAGAAATGGCTGTGCGATCTAAAGCACCAAATCAAGAGGAACTACTGGATGTCGGACCGGCCATAATAACGCTGAACGATGTTGAAGAGAGTCTGAAAAAAACGCACATGTTATATGATAAGAAGGGTGATCAACATTACGACATAATTTCCGCGTTACACAAGTCAGTCAGAGCTAGTGACGAAAATGCTTCTCTTTATTGGTTAACTAGAATGATCTCCGGCGGTGAGGATCCGGTTTATATCGCACGAAGATTAGTAAGGATGGCCAGCGAAGATGTTGGCTTAGCTGATCCAAAAGCTCTCGGTTAGCACAAATCATTCATAATTTATAATTGCTAAAACTCAATAATAATAATTTTACTAATAATTATATCAGAAACTCAATGATAAAACAATTTTAATAATAATTATATCAGATTGTAGAAAATAGATTTGTGAAATGTGATTAATTGTGAATGTAATTTATGCTAACATATAGATTTTACAAAACAAATAGTTCACTTGATGTAAACATATATTATTTGTTAAGGGTTAGCGATGCATACAATGCATGGCTGTAAAATGATCGGGATGCCGGACTGTGATGTTCTTTTGGCCCAGTGTACAATATATTTGGCAAAAGCTCCAAAGTCCAGACTGATGGAAGACGCACTTAGAGCTGCACAAAAAGTCGTAGCTGAGCATAAGGGCCCGCAACCAGGAGTGCCTTTATATCTAAGAAATGCTCCCACGAAACTCATGAAAGATTTAGGTAAATATTTGTTTTTGTCTCTTTTAAAAACAATATGAGAAATATACACTTAATAAATTGAACTACCATATCAGGACATGGTAAGGGATATAATATGAGGCATAAAGATGAATCTGGATTGAGTTATCTACCAGAGGGATTGGAAGATTTAGATTTCCTTGGTGATGATGAAGATGATACAATGTAAAAATATGATGATATTTGCTTTATCTCAAAGGTACATTTTATCATGTATACATATATATATAGGTATATATGAGTTTCATATTAATAAGAAAAAAAAATATATAATTTGTATTGTATTTGTTACTAACATACTTATAAAAATCTCAGATCTCTCAGGGATTAAAGTTTTAAATATCATAAACGTTAATGTAAAAATTATAGAAATTGTGTACAATGTGCATATATATTGTAATTAAATATAGAGAGCAATTTTTATATAACAATATAGCAATATTTAAATAAAGCGGCCATTCACACAATCGAAAAAGTAATACATTTTAATTTAGTTGAATAAAAGCAAGATTTATATATATTTAGAAGTTTAGGAATAATTAATGAACTGCTGAATTATATCTGAAACTCGCTAAGTTTCTTACAAATGCATACTTTTTCTCCAAATTAACGTCTTATTATTAGCAGGCATATCCATAATCTCGATTAATTTAATATTATTCTCCTCAGCCAACTTTTTCAAATCTCTTACATCTCGTAAACCCCAACTTGGATCCTGCAATCTCAAGGACTTGTCGAAATTTATATTACTCTGCGGTGTGATTTGACCATCAAAGGCATATGGTCCATATGTAATTAACAGTCCGTTCGGTTTTAGCAATTGGCCAACGTTATTAAATAAACCGATGGTACACTGATACGGCGAAATATGCATCATGTTTGCGTTATATATGTATTCTAAGCTGTTCGGTTTAAAGATACCATTACCCCATAGACGATAGTCCGTGGTGACATCAATTCTAATGGGACTTTTTATGTTCGAATGTCCGTGTGCGTGTGCGGCGATACTCTCCAAAAGTCGCGGCTCGTACTCCGAGGGATAAAAGGTGACGTGTGGAAAATGCGGTGCGAAATGCGTCACATGTTGTCCTGAACCGGAGGATATCTCCAAGAAGCTCTGATTGACGTCGCATTGTTGGATGTATCGTTTTAAAACCGCTAATATGGGATCCTTATTACGATCCGCCGCAGGATAAATGAGTTTTTTAGCAGCCATAGTATTGGACCTTGAAGAATTTATAGTTTTTCACTTCTTGAAAAATTTGCGGTTGCTTAGTACGCTTACATAATATATATTCACTTGAGAAAACATATAGAAGAATTAAAACTTAATAAGAAAATTAAATGCTAATTAGTTACAAGCGCGTATCTCACCTGATTAACAGTGAAGGATATTCATTTCTATAGCATGATAATATTTGTTTTTAGAACAAAGAGAGTTTACATATGTCCTGAAAAAATGCAAAATATTTTTTTATATTGAAATATATTGCTTATTTTTTATTTCGTAGGAATATAAATAATTGCAATAAATTTTAATCACATAAAACATTAGATTGTCTAAAAAATATTTAAATATATATATAAACTAATACATAACTAATACATATATTTCGATAAATTTAAAATATTGTCGAAAAAGGAAAATATAGGCTAGAGATTGGTAAAAAGTGAATTTGATATATTAATTTAATGAGATATTGTATTTATTGATGAGTATAATGATTTATTGTAAAACTTGGTTGGTTTATAATATGACATACAATTTTAATTTTTATTGTTCCTGTTAAAGAATATTAACAGCACATTTATAATTTCCATTTTCGAATCAATATAAATTATCACAAAGGAATTAATAGTTCAACATCATCAAACATAATTCGAATTACAATATTTTACTATTTTTATACTTTGTACAATATATACACAAGGACCTTTAATGTATTGGAACATATGCTATGCCTAAAAGACTCTCATATCAATCATGATGCAATTTAAATTGCAATTTAAACAATAATTAGCTACAATTGGCTAAGATATTTAGGTTCAATGTCTCTTTTTGTCTGAAGTGTCTTTTCCTTTCGTCATTGCTTTTTCTTTTTTTTGTTTCTCCTTTTTGTGTTTTGTTAACTCTGGTATATATACAGAATGTCCAGTTTTCTTTAAATGCTCAAATAATTTATTTTTGCTAGTAAACTCCATTGAACAGGATACGCAGCAATGAGCCAAATCATCAACATTCATGACTGGATCTTTTTTATTTTTACTCTTATTCTCTCGTTCTTCTTTCTTGAATGCTTTCTTTGCTTTATTGACTTTCAGCCTTTCGTTAATAATATTTGTCTCTTCTGCTACTTTGCTTTCGTCTTTCATTTGTTGTTCTTCCGTCTCGTGTGTTTCCTCATTAGTTTGCTGCTTATTTATTGATATCTTCTTTTGCTGTAACTTTTTGCGTTGTTTTTTCGACAGCCACATTTCTTCATTAGTATTCTCTGTGTCTTCGTCACTAGCATCACGATTCATCATAGTACTTAGATTCAGAATATTCCGTTTTTTCTTCTTTTTCTGACGATTCGACAATGGGATTTCTTCTTCCTGATCAGATATCAATTCATCTTCAGACGTTTCGATATCATCTTCATTTTCTATCTTAGATGAGAACGAAGTGCTTTCATCGATCTGTGGTCCTGTAGCTAATGGAACATCTTCCTCATCTATTTTTCTTTTTTCCTTTGATGATCCGGAATTTTTTTCATCGTCTGACATCAATTCACCTGAAGAGATAGCCTCATTATCCTCATCGTCAGATTGTCTCCTATCACTCTGAGGATTCAATAAAAAATCGGGCATCTGCGAGTTTGTTGCTAACTTAGGTCCGTTTAGTGAAGTTGATTCTACACCGCTTTCTGAATCGCTTTCACGAGAACTGAGATCCTCGTCATCATCTGTTGCGGTGTGTTTGAGTATACTGACATTTTCCTTGTGCTTTCTCGAGTTCTCATGATTCGTAAAGGCCTTGTGCGTTTTGAAAATTTTATTGCAGGCGATGCAATAGAGCGTATTGTCATCTTCTGCAGTTGCTTCTTTATCGTCTATCCCAAATTCCGCCGTCAGATTCGCCTCGATGTTCTCCAGTTCCGCCTCGATGTTCGAGAACTTGGACCACTCGGATTCATTATGTTCGCGCAACAGCTTCTGCCTCTCCAGTAGATGCGCCTTCCTGCGCTCCTCTGCCTTGCGAAAGTTCTCGCGAGCACGTTCGGCCAGCTTTTCCGCGTAAGCCTGCACGCGCTTGTCGCGTTTACGGACGAAAGCGACCAGATTCCGTACCTGCTCGTTTCTCTCGCGTCTTGCTTTCTCGCGTACTTTTTTATTCTCTTTCTCGGCGAGCCTGAAGACGCGTCGATTCGGCATGTCGCGTACATCGTATGGGTCCAACCAAGCATAGGATCTCTTGGTGCTATAACTTTGCCAGTAGGCATAGAAATCATGCACCACATCCTCGTAGGAACTCTGAGAATCCCCGAAGCCAGGGATCTCTTCGTCAGACTCGCCGTCTTTAGCGAACTCGGCGTCCTCGGCGGCCAATTTCTCGAAGACGGCTCGGTAGACGGCATAAAAACCTGCCTCGTCGTCCTTGTAACCCTTGAAGCATGTAGCGGAGAAGTATGGGAAAAGATTAATGGAGTCGTCCTTGTAATTCTCTCCAATTCCACCCTTTAGGATAGCCTCTCGATGATTGTCGTACCAAGTACGTTCATGGGGATCGCTCAATATCTCCCATGCCTGCTGGATAAGCTGAAATTGTTCCTTGGCTTCATTTGGATTATCGAGATTTTTGTCGGGATGCCATTTCAATGCTAGTTTTCTGTATGCCTTTTTTATGTCATCGTCGGAAGCATTTCTTTCAACTCCTAATACTTCATAGTGACACTTCATTGTGTAATGATATACAACGGTTGGACACAATTTCCTTACTTAAACCACAAACCGTATGCTAAAAGAATTTAAGATTATTAAATTGAGATTATTAAATTGAGATTATTAAATTGTGAAATTAAACAGTTTTCAGATAATCTAATGTTTAATTCAATTAAAAATAATTTATGAGGTCATAGTTTTTTCTATTGTACATAAATCTATAATAAGATCTGTAAAATAAAGAAATATTATATTACAAGTATAAATAAACATAAATAAATATGTATAATCCTAATAAAAGATTCATAGAAAATACATAATTTCAACATTTTAAACATTGTTTTAACAAATTATATAATTACGTCTTTAAAGAAAAATCACATTTTATATTTCCAAATATAAATGTATTGAAATTTATTTCTATAATGTTCAATTAATTGTAAGTAAATTAAGTAATTGGGCTAATAAATTAATTGTAAAATTAAAATAAAGCAAATTAATTAATTGAGCGAAATAATTTGGTATGATCTCGTAAATTATTTTGAACTAAAACGTTGCTTGCTTTATATATCCCAATTAAGATTTAAAAAAAAAACGTACACACTCATGCCACAAATATAGATAATCGTTTTTAATTATCTATTATAATTCTAACTTTTAATATGTTTTTCGGTATTTTTAATGCGTTGACAGAACAATGTGCTTACCAACTTTAATGTTTATTGATTCTCTTGTTGAAGATGCTGCGCACAATAAACACACACTTGATGGCCAAAATCTGTGTAATTATAGAAAAAAAAATACAATGCTTAACAGTCGAGCATTTATAATTAATATAAATTTATATTTATATATATTAACATCCTAACGCATTATTTCCGTGGAACTGCACGATTTTAGGTTACGTTCCAATTAGATGCTAGATTAATCGAGCGATCGATTCTATCGCATGATCGATTCGTAAGATCGATTATCTCATTGACATATCTAATTCGATCAATTCCTATGTTCAAGTGCAAAATTCATTTTATTACGAATTTTACAGCTGATCTTTATAAAAAAAATTGTCATATAAATTTCGCAAAATCTCTCGATTAATATTAATCTAAAGTTGAACATTGATTACAGAAAATAACAATGAATTTATTCGCGTTTTTTTATAGATATCGTCCGAACTAGCACGATTTAGAAACCTTCGAGGTGGATCAGCCATGGGCGTCCGCAGGATTTTTCTCAGAAGGGGCAAACATTTTTTATTTTTTAATTTTTGTTCTTTCAATAAAAAAAATTTTTTTGTTATTTTGTTTTACTTTTATTTTTTATATTAAATATGCAAATAAATTTTAGTGTTTTTTCAAATGGAGAGCAAATGGATAATTTTTTTGCCGATTTCAAGGGGGTACGAATGCCCCCTCTTGGCCCCCTCTGCGGACGCCCATGGGATCAGCTGATCGCTCTTCGCTCGAACTACTGTCGGGCATCGTCCTCGACAGCAAGATGGCGACGTTGGCGAGAGCGCAATAAAGAGTGCGAGATTTTCGGCAAATATCGCCAGCTGCGACGTTCCAGGCGGCTGTCCGCAGTATTCATCGGCTCCTGGTAATTATCCTCGACACGTCTAGTCGCAGGATTGCCCTCAGCATCCCGAACGCGGACGTTTCCGGTACCTGGAACGGTAGCCTTGACTCACTCTTGTGACATTTTGCCAACATCATGTGTAGCAGACGCCTTTAATTGCTTCCGATCAATTTCCTCTCTTGCTCTCCGAATGATTTTCAGAATTTGACGAATTCTTTGACGAATTTTAAGCGAATTAATCTTGATTATGTTTACGTCGTAAAATTATTTTATTGGTTTATCAATATGATATATGGAAGTGAATCGTAGTTAATAATAGGTTTGTCATTTTATTAGATGGTTATCTCTTTCTATCTTATATCAATGATAATGTCGGTTTGTTTTAGATGTAATTTACTGCAGTAAGCATGCTTGGGAATTATCTTTTTGTGCTTTAGCTATTTTTCAGATTGATAACATGGCATTATTAATATAGTTGACAATGCTTATTTTAAAACAGTTATTATAATTTATAATCTTGTGATCAAACTCTTTTATTCGAGATGTGTTTTTAAATTATTTTCTGAATTATATGACGAAAAATGTATTAGTCAATTAATCAGAAAAATATTAGTATCGGAATAAGCAAGAAAGACATACAAGTGTGCTTATTTTGTGATGATAATAATTTTCAGATTGCTCGCAAAGATGACCGCAGGTACCAGCTTAGTGGTGCCCATAGTGCTATGGGGACGCATAGCACCAACCCATTGCATTTCCTGTGTCTATCTATCTCGGGATCAAAAAACATTGGTGACAGGCTGTTATGATGGACAGATATGTCTGTGGCAAGTGGATCCGGAAACATTTAAGGTTAAGAGTTATTAGAGTTGAAGATTATGAAAACTATAATTTTTCTCTCCTAATATGTATATTATGATTTTTTTTTATAGATGACTCCACGGTGTCTACTTGTTGGACATACTGCTCCAATAATGTGTCTTAGTCGAGCCAGTGTTGTAATGGAGCAGAGTTTCATCGTTAGTAGCAGCGAAAGCGGAGAGATGTGCACTTGGGATCTAGTTGATGGAAAATGTCGCGAAGCAGTGAAACTCAATAACGTTCACACACAGATGCTGCCCTACGTTTCGGCAGGCGGAGAGGATGTTAGGTTGTTTTGTTCCGGGTGAGAATCTCAATGTTCTCATCGCATCGCAATAATAGTATTTTCATGTTGAGAGAATTTTTTTTTATTGTTTCCATTTAGATACTATCCTGAAGTTCTGGTGATGGACCCGTTCAGTTTGGAAGTGCTGTTTACTCTGAGCTCACGCGTAAATCCAGATTGGATTAGCGCCTTGCATGTTTTGCGGCCGGCCAAACGGAAAGGTCGGTTCTACGTGCATACAAGTTAGTTACACTCCATCACACCTACGCTTACCATAACTCTTCCGTTACCTTCTAATCAATTTCATTATCAATAGATACTGTAAATATACTAATTGCAATACGACTTTTATAAAAATTTATCTCTTTGCTCTCAAAAGTTTAATATGGTTAAATTTAATTTAAATCTGACATATTATTCTATCGCGTCTTCTATCTAAAATTTTGTTTTTTAATATGCAATAATTCTTATTTACATATATAAAACAGTCTCAATACTTCTTATATGAGTTAATAATATTTCTTACATAAATAAAAATCAATAATATACTAAACAGTATCTTTTGGTATTTCATGATCTTATATATTTACATTATTCTTTTTTTAAGTAAAGAACTTTCGGATACTAATAGTAAATATTCTCTTTTTAGTCATTTTTGTACTTTATTCGAATAAATTTAAATTGAAAAATAATATTTTTATGCTATTTATATATAATAAGCAATGACTTTACTAATATAATTTGAAAGCAACTAACGATACCAAAGTTACTTGTACAAAAATGTTCTCTTTTATTTTGAATTTTATAGTCTCTTGCTCTTTGCCAGTTTTAGGCAATTAACCAGAAGAAGCTTTATGCTTTGGGTCTAAAGCGGGATTTTCTTTTTAATGAATATTTCGTGTATTATTTTTTGATGACATTATTTTACCGAAAAAATGATTTACATAATTTGGACGCAGTTTTTGATAATAGTAGTTTTATATCTAATATTTTTGGACTGATTACTTAATTAACAGTTACATTGTTGCAGCATGATTAATGAAACTGGAAACAATTCAGTGTTAGTACGCTGATGGTCGAGGCTGTATCGCACATCTTTTTTCTCTATTATCTACCTAATCGTTATTCACACATCTTTTCTTTATGAATCATTTTTTAAACAATGCAATCATTATTAATCTCTTATTTTCTTTTCTTTTTATGGTAATATGCATACACTGTCCATATCCAGTCACTAATACAAGTCATTTATTCATATATCACATTTCTCCAATATTCACTACATCTTTGTAACACTTTCATAACACTTTTACCTTGGTATAGTTTCTATCTCTTTTCGTAAGTATATGTACATATATATATGTATATCTTATAATATATATTCACAATAAAATAATTATAATATATATTCACGCAAATAATATATTAAATTGCATGCTCTATGCTATCGCAAAGTTTAATTAAAAGTTATTAATAATTTGAATTATTCGCTATTTTATCAAAATAAATAAAATTGATAAAAAAATATTTAATATTTGGAATATATTTTTTTATTTTGTGTATTTTGTAAACTTTATTGGAAAAAATTTGCAAGAAAGATGCTAATAAAAACTTTTAGTTTTAAATATAATTAGAATTTATTAAAATTAATTTTTGCAGTACTACTTATTGTATATGGCAGTTATGCTATTATTATTATACAATTATTAGTATTAATTTAATATCTGTTATTTAACTGTATATGTTCTTTAAAATTATACGTAAAATTACAAAACAAAGGTATTTTGTATGCATAAAGTTAGAATTAATTATGAAGACTAGCTGAGAAGACCTTGATAAAAAAGAGAGCACACAATTTGCGGAAAACGCAAACATTCTTATCAGCACCAATTGAAACTATGCATACATTAATTGCTATCTGTTAATAAGCACTAGTCCTTGAATTTTGCTTGATTAAATAAAGAAAATACTTAATTTTTGCAATAATTTGAAAGTAAGCATAAGCATGACTTTCTTATAACTTAATATGTATCGCTTTTCTCTCCATGGAAAGATCTGGCATGCATGTAATATATTACACTTTACGCATACGGAAATTGTTATTAATTAATGAGAGTCACGTTACACTCTTTTAATTAGTAGAATTACTTTACCTCTAATCTTATAATTCCATTGACCGCTTATCCGGTCTATAAATAATATTATTTGCATTAATATTTATCAACAAAGCTGACAAATTGCGTTAACAAATTGTTCGGGTAACTCTAACAAAATGTCGCTTAAAATGCATTCTTTCTGGATTTATTTAACGCAACAGGCGCTTTTATTCGTTTAAAGACGATGTCGTATTGGCTCTGACGACCACGGGTACAGTCAAGGTATGGACACTTCTGGGACACGAGAATCGAAACAGCGAGCCTCTGTACGAACATGAAAGCAAGCAGATCCGTTGCTTGAATGCACTCGCGATGACTTGCTGTCCTTACAATCAGAGAACAGTGCTTATTGTATGCTCCAAATATTGGCAGGTAATTTGCAGATGTCATTATCACTAATAAAATGCTTAATTGGAGAGTATTTTACCATAAAAATATATCTTATTGTTAGATAAGACTATGTAATGCAAGAAAAATTGGTTCCCAATACTTTTTTAAAATTTGATTTTAGTCTTAGTATGCATTTTTCTTAAAATAACGTTTGATTCATAATTTGCATTGTTTTAACATAATATAATATCTCTGGAATAACTTTACAGATATTCGACGCCGGTGATTTTTCGGTCCTTTGCTCGATAACGGCTCCTCGTGGCGAACGTTGGATGGCAGGAGACTTTCTAGCTGCGGATAGAGTCATTTTGTGGAGCGATGAAGGTCATGGATATCTATACAAACTTCCAGCAAAGTACGTATTCGTTCGACACGACCTGTGATAAGTGTTTTCGATACACTGATACTGATTTTGACGAGAACTTATATATACTATTTTACAGGGTTGGGAAAGTTACTTTGTAAAAATAATTAGTTACAGTTACAGTTATTTTATTGAAAAAGTAACTAGTTACAGTTACAAGTTACTGATTTTAAAAAATAACTCATTACAGTTACAGTTACTCAAAAAGTAACGAGTCGTTATTTTTCAGTTACTTTTTAAAAATAATTATACATTATTTTAAATATAAGGAGCTTACATTTTATGCACAATCATAGTCAAGTATTTAAAAAAATTCTTGAAGCAAATCGATCAATTATTACATTTAAGAATTTTTTTAAATATTTGACTGTGATTGGTCGATTTTAATTATGTGTTATATTATTTTATGTACACAAAATGAAAATTTTAGGTAAAAGATTAAATCATATGAAGATCCATATGCTACTGTTAACAGAATTTAATTTAACAATATAACGGCTACCAAACTTAAACGATACTTTTAGCGGATGTTTCCAAAAAAAGTAACTAATAAAGTAACTGTTAAAATAGTTACTAGTTACTAAAAAAATGTAACTAAGTTACAGTTACAGTTACAGATGGAGAAAAGTAACGAAGTTAAGTTACAGTTACCGAAAAAAGTAACTGTAACTGTAACTTTGTTACAAGTAACTCGTTATTTCCCAACCCTTGCCAATTAGCAGGGTTTATCTCTTTTCAGGGAAAAGAGATAATATATTGAAATAATAATATATTTCAATATATTATCTCTTTTCCCTGATTGATAATATCGCTTAACAAACGAATGATTTTCTCTATCTAACGCCCTGAATTAACTATTACTTACGACTGAGCGACACTATGTTTGATTGAAATATTGGAATACTAAATCTTATTGATTAGCATACCCCTTTATTGCTTCTAGGGTTCTGGTACAACTTGACAGGTAGTTTCTTTTCGCGTACACATAAGTATTAAAATTCTATTGCAAATGATATCTACCAATATCTATGTACAGAAAAAGTTTACTAATAGTTTAGCAGCATGATTATGTTTACTAAAATAATTTATCAATTATAATTTATTGTTAAAAATGCTGAAGCAACGATTTAAATGAGTTATTAATGTGTTTTTAACAAATATATAACTGTAATTTATATATGTGGCACATCTTTGAGAAATATAATTTCATAGATGTTTCACAGATATATTACTATTTTAGTTGTATTTATTTTTGTACAACTAAAAGGAGATCACAAAAATGACATTAGGATCATTCAAAATTTATATTATTTTCCTATGAATTTCTAATATATGTAATTGTTGGGCGCATTAACTTATATAACATGAAACGAGTCTCCTCTTTCAATTTTAGGCCTGAATGCTGTAGAAGCACTTGCTGGCAATGCACTTGTTGATATTTTATTTTTTATCTTGGTTGAAATCATTTATCATGCGCGTACATATTCGAAGTCATATTATCGTTTACTAAAAAAATTAAATGTAACTCCGTTACATTTAATAATCGAGTTTCACAAGATAGAAAGTATTACACATTCTCTTCGTACAAAGTTTATTCTACTTTTTTATTTCAGGTTGAAATAAAGATATCTCGAATATAATTCAAAACAGTTGAGATTAGGAAATACATAAAGCTATACATATTAATATTAAAATATTAATTAATAAAATTCTAGTTGCATTTTACTTTTTTATATAAAATAAATATGAAGTTTTTTTTTTGGGGGGGGGGGGAGTAGAAGAATTTGGGTCTCAGTATTCATAATATAATCCCACAAGTTTCATACATGCACATAAATTAACAATTAACACAATGGTCCATTTTACGGTGATGTCTTTTTCATATTATTTACATCTACTGCATTCTACGCTGGATCTGGTGTTCTTCTAGCAAGCTGAAGGGCAAGGCTCTCAGCAGGTAACCCGTATTATCACTTGTACATCTCTCTTGTCTCATCACTTATACTCTCCATATTGTTTTTCTGTACATTATTTTCTCTGTTCTTCTCTTTGTCTCTTTTTGTTATTCACTCTTATTATTCACTGTCGTCTCCTCTGTAAAGAGACAACTCGTTTTTACTTACCTGTTTTTTGGTGCAAGGATTTATTAGAGTTATTGATGTTACTGGAAACTGGATGCATCATATTTCATCATTTTAACGCAAATTAACAAAATTCATTACATCGACGTGCATTCATCATCAACGATCAATCATACAATGATATTTTTTTTATATTTTCTCATATATATATTCAGAAAATCAACTCGACTTCTCATCCGCATTTACATGCAAGCTCGTATATATACGCGTTCGTTTTTATTCGCGTTGTACACGAGACACTCGTATACTCAACATATCATAATCATTGTGACAATTTTTAATCACAAAATTCGCAAACAGATAATATAAACAAGGTGATGCGCGAAATAAAGGTAAATGCGAAAAAGAATCATATATATTGCCGTACCACATTACTTCATTATTTATCTTCTTACATTCTGTTTGCTTTCAGTTGCTTTGCACTGTTATTATTAACTGTACGATGACATAAAAAAAGAAACGTGGCACAAAGGTAATTCATGAGGAAAAGAAATTTCCTAGAATCAAAACATGTATCATATGGTCCAGAAAAGTCTATCGTTTTTTTTATTTAAAATAATTAAATTTTAAGTATCAATTTTGATATTTAATTATTTTAAATAAATAGTTTAATAAAATAGTTTTATTTAAAATAATTAAAATTTAATTATTTTAAATAAAACTATTTTAAATTAGGAGATATCATTAAATATATCTCCTAATTTGTTAAAATAGAATTAGAATCTTTACAAATATATATTTCTACCTTTGTGTGTCGTTCATGATAATCTGAAGATGCTAATTGCTTCAAAAAAGCAGTTTACTCGCAGCGTTTGCTTGCTAGTAAACATAGTTAGCAAATAATCACGCGTATTTAAAGTTATTCGATGCATAAATTTCAAGCTTGTGCGATGTAACAAGATAATTACTATTTGTGAACACGCATTTTCCAACATCCAGCATACAAAAATTTTGATATCTATGTTGAGACTGCAATATTTAAATAGAAAAAGTGTGTCCACAAATAGTATTTAAAGTTCTAAAATTTCATGAAGACGAAAGTAATCGCTAATCACAGGCTTTCTTTAATATGGTATACAGTAGTGTCGCGGATAACAAGAACTTCCACACCGCTGGTGCCGAATACGATCAGCCGTATTTGTACTGTACGCTAACACAACCCGGAGATAAGGTAAGAAACATATCTTAAAACAATAATCTCTTTTCTTTTTCTCGATTTTTTCTGAATTTTTATGTATGCATATATATTTCAGCCTCTTTCATGTCCACCAGCCATGCGATTGGTGACCGTACAGCGTCAAAATAAGACTCTGAAGTACTTGTTACGTGGGGACAGCGAGGGTGTTGTTATTCTCTGGACGGTACCGGAGGTGACGACACAACAGCTCGCCCAAATATCCCAGAATGATGGATCTACACCGCCAGCATTGCCGCCGACCGTGAAGACGAGCCTCACCGCTGCCTGGGGCGCGATGAAGCCGCCTCCCGTGGGAATACTTGATCAACTGGACTCTGGCGATGGTCAGGGAATCAAGCTTACCGCTTGTATCTACCTGCCGCAGCAGAGTCGGCTGGTCGTCGGTCGTGAGGACGGTAGCATCATTATTGTACCAGCAACACAGACCGTGATGCTGCAATTGCTTCACGGAAATCATCAACAGTATGATGGTATTGTATCTTTATTATTTTTAGATAGAGAATTTTGTTAATTTATAATGATATTAAATTACGATACAATTCTTGATACAAGACGTAATTAAATAAACCGAGGATACAAATACATATTATAGTTTAATATATGTATATAACAATTCACGTGTATATAACAACATATGTATATAACAATTTTTTTTACGTATGACACTTAGATTGGCCTCCGCATCAAGTTCTTCTGGGTCACTCGGGACGAGTGAATTGTCTGCTTTATCCTCACGGCGCAGCGCCTCGTTACGATCGCACTCATCTCGTTTCTGGTTCTGTGGACTTTGCTGTTTGTCTCTGGGATTTATACGCTGGCACCTTGATCCACCGATTTTGTGTTCACGCCGGCGAAATCACGCAACTGATGGTGCCGCCCGATAATTGCAGTGTATGATTAATTGCTTATTTTTACGACAAGAATTTAGACGATGATTATTTTCACGAGAAATATTGCAATATTAGATAAGTTAATGTATTTATATTTATAGCCCAGGATACAGAAATGCGTATGCAGTGTTGCATCGGACCACAGCGTTACCTTACTCTCATTGGCTGAGAGGAAATGTGTCGTGCTTGCTTCGCGACATCTTTTCCCAGTTGTAACTATCAAATGGAGACCGTTGGATGATTTCATGATAGTCGGATGCTCGGATGGTGCCGTATACGTCTGGCAAATGGAAACTGGTCATTTGGATCGTGTATTGCATGGTTTGTCAACCTCTGCATTATTTCAGTGATTGCATTGCCTTTCCACGAATCTTTAAATTCTTAGGATCTCCAATCTTCAAAGGCTTGAAGGATATTTTAATCATAAGATATTCTCTTATATTACTATGTTTTTCTTAAATTATTCTTACAAAAGTATTGCACACATGTTATTATTTATTATTCATAGTCCTTGCCTTTCGGTTTAGGACAGACTTCCGGTTACAATTAATCGCTGTTTTCTCCCTAACTTATATATAAACATTTATAAAATATAAAATAAATTAAACTATAATAATTTCTAATAAGCTGAGAGAATCTGAACTTAACACTAAAATTAAATCTAAATATAAATATAATAAAACATATAATCAAATATGATAGAACGTAATTAAATAAAACAACTTGAAATTTAATTAATTTTACGTACAATAAATTAAATAAATGAACGAATAAACTAATAACAAATGATCGAACGAACGATTTAATTATTGATTGAATGTTGCACACTCATGTTCTTCTTTTAGGCATTATCGCGGAAGAAGTGCTCTACGCTTGCGACGAAAACACCATCGCGGCGGCTGGCGGATCCGCTACTGGCGGCGAGCTAGGACTTGCCAATCCTGCCGTGCATTTCTTTAGGTAAATGAAATCTTGCAGCATGGATGGTGAGAATTTTGCGTGTTTTTTCGACGACAAAAAATCTACCGGGATAGCGTTCTCTGTTACAGTCCGTCCGATTTCTACTTCTCAGGGGTTTGCGTCACCGAAACCTGTCGGCGATCAGACACGCGACGCAAAGGGGTCTGCACCAATTGCAACAGCTTCACGGTGGTCATGGTCCTGATCATGGGAATCAAATAAAGGCTAAAGGTTCACCACTGATGATTCAAGGCTTCAGGAGTAACCCCAAGGATCCGGAGAGTCACATTTTATTCTTCGACATAGAAGCGCTGATAGGTATAAATATGCTTTGATTCGTTGTGTGAAATTTTTTTTACGAAAAAAAGTTAAATTTTTTTCATTCATTAACTAATAAAATAATCTTTGCACTTTATGAAATAATTTGTATTCAAACATAATTTTTTTTGGTAAAAATAATTTAATTTGTTTCTTTATTGTAGTGCAATTGTTAAGTGATGAATATGGTGCCATGTCCCCTGGTTCTTTAGAAGCGCAGGGACTTATCTCTGCTGCCGAATATCAAAAAGTTGCAGCCCTCACTCAGTCTGCTAGTCCCGATGCGCATAAGAAAATTGTTGGTAAGGTAATCCTTTCATATATAATGTAAAATTATATTGTAATGTACCTATGTGAAATGTTTTGTGTATATATGTACATACATATAAACACAAATATACATATAATATTGCTCGCGCGTGTGTGTGTGTGTGTGTGTGTGTGTGTGTGTGTGTGTGTGTATTGCATAATATTATAGATAGATATTATAGAATAAGAAAACGATTTTTCCACAGCTCTACTTATTTAAAGATTAAAACTATCTTTATTAATGTCCCTTTATAGACTTTTTTGGTCGCGTCAAGGATAAAGCGGGCGATGTTGAGCGAATATTAAAGGAGAAGGATCGTCACGGTATCGTGTTTTATTATTGTTATTTGTTTCGCAATTTTGTTTGCTAATTTCTTAGATCACTGAAGTCTCTATATAAGATATAGATAATAATTAATATAAATTTTTAAGAAAAAGTTAGTAAAATTTTTTTATTTTCTAGACTTCTAAAAGTATTGTGTTAATTTCATATGTATTCGTCATTTGTATGTATATCTTATTTAAGTTTATATTATCGCATATCTTGATTCGATTTGTGATTATTTTAATCGAGAAAAAGCATATTTAATGTGCATTTTGCATTTTATTTGCAAAAAATGCTTCTATATATGAATTCATTATTATGTGGAATTTTCGGTGTGTTGTCAGCTTTCTTTATTCAATGACTGTATTTTAGGCGGGTTTTTTTTCATCCTAATCTCCTAAACTTTTGCTTTTTACACTTATATCTTATACTCTTATATTCTTTAATTCATGAATTTTTTTAGTTATAAAATCTTCAGATGTTTTTTTTTACATCTGATTTAAGATTTCAATTTCGTAAGATATTTTATTTCTGTTCTTAATAGAATTTGCAATAGTGTTAACGCTGTAGATTTCTTCAGTTCGGTCATCTGGTAGATGTTTTGCTACAAATATCTTTTTCACGTAAAGTACTATCTAAAAGCAGATTTCTTTCTGTAGGTATATTGGCTAAGATGAAGGAGGGTGCAGAAAATGTGCATACTAAATTACAGGCCAAAGCGGAAAGCGTCGGCCTCAAGCCGTCGACATTTGACGGCAAAGGTTAGACATGTATCTTTAAAAGTAACAAGTTTTTCGTAGTTCACGATTACAACGTGTCTCGCACGGGAACCTCTTTTGTACTCTAGGCTTTCCACTTGTGCTTTATGATTTTCGTGTGTCAATAAGTAGAAATCTTGTAGTTTCTTCAAGGCACTGAACAATTTCACTATTTGTCTATGTTATCATATTCTTAACAATTCCCATTAGGACTATAAATCAGGAGTTTACAGCAAACAAGGAGATGGATATTATTACTACTACGACTGCTTTAAATTTGTTGATATGCACGCTTGAGAGTTTTTAAACAGCATTTAATGTACGTTGCAGAATTATCACTGCTTATATGTCTTTGATTTTGTAATAAGTGTGTGAATAGTGTATTCGTTCAGGACTCATATAATATTAATAATATAATAAATATATATATATATATATATATATATATATTAATAATATAAATAATATTAATCGTTCATGTATGTTATTGTGTGTGTATATGTTTTCACTTACGCTATTAATTTGATGCCATCAAACACTTTTTAGGAATTTAATTTTTATTTTCTTTTGATGTATTTATATGTATTTGTATACTTTTTATTGTGCTATTTTGTTTTTCAGTCATATTAGCTGTTTTTGTTGAATATAATTTGTATTTATTGTATTACTCATATCTGTTTGACGCTTTATAGGCGAAAATTGGAATAATAGCGACGCGGCCAAGAACAGTTTGAAACGAAACGGTGCGTTTAGCGAACCAAACGCGACGATGGAAGTGGCGCAGTTGCTTTTGAGTCTTTTGCACGCCTGGGGAATGGATCCAGACTTGGATCGGGTTTGTGAGGGAAAATTGGGTCTACTACGACCTATGGTCCCTATCTCATTCGGAGTACTATCCAAGGGAGGTATGTTCATAATATGAAAAATTACTTAAAAGAAAAATTTATCGTCTGTTACAATTCATATATTACTGATATAATTAAAATATTCACAAAATATTTTTTATGTACAAAGATATCTACGCATATTCTTTTATGGATGTGTGAGAAGAGATTTTTCTTTTTTTTTTTTTTTAATATTGAATATATTTTAAAATAAAGTAATATCGAGAACAAATTATACTTTTTCGTTTTTTCTAATTTATAATGTCAAATATTTAAAAAAAATCATATATATGCTGCAGGTTACATGTCATTACTATTACCAACTTGGCAAACACAACTTGAACCAATCGGTGAACCGGCAACCCAATTGGAGCAACGCTTACCAGCTGAATTAGTTAGACAAGAGAGACTCACTAGAGCATTCACAGCAAGAGCACATTGGGAATTGTCAACTACTTTAACAAGTAACCATTTACTAGCGGTAGTCGCTTTATCGAATACCTTAATGTCGATGAACAACGCAACATTTGTACCTGAGCAAGAACGAAATCGCAAGATGCACAGGTAAATTTTGTAATGTCAAATTAACGATGATATTGTGCACTGCTAATTACTTTAAGACCTCTAATTATAGTAGTAAATTATTGCATACCATGTATATCATATTTTTTGCTTTACATTCATATATCATATTTATAATTAAAAAAAATAGATATCTCAGCTAATATCTAATAAAGATAGATATGCATGAAATAAGTCTGGAAGCAAGTAAATTTTTATAAATAGGCCGGGTAATAGAGGCGCGGTGAACTGGAATAAAACAGAAGAAGAAAATGAGGAAATATACACAGTACAGCAGGCGCAGATCAAGCAGGGTTGGTCTCTCCTGGCTACATTACACTGTGTATTGTTACCTGATAAAGTCGCAGCGCAAGGTGGTGCGAAGACCTTTAAGCGACCGCAAGTGGAAATGATGGCACGAAGATGGCAACATCAGTGTGTGGAGGTTCGTTATTATTTTATACATATTCTCCGTTTTACTTAGAATTAATCATTGTAGTTTCATTCATAAAACATCTTACTTTCCAAATTATTGATAATTATGGCTATTATTTATTCAATTTTAGTATGTCCACGTAATTTTTCATTAACGTTTTAGATTCGAGAAGCAGCACAGGCTTTGCTGCTCGCCGAGCTAGGCCGGATGGGCTCAAAGGGTCGCAAAGCGCTTGTCGATAATTGGTCGCAGTATTTGCCGATGTATAGTACTCAGGAACCCATCGCGCCGCAACCACAGAACCAAAATTCGCCAGCGGCCGGAAGTCCGGTACCGCAGGCTGAATCACAACCTGAAGAAGAAGATGAAGAAGAAGAGCTAGCTGAAGGTGAGTTGTCTTTGTAATGTATAATAAATTTGAATTATTCTATTATATCAGGATGGATAATACATGAAGACTGTCAATAGAAAATATGGACTTTTTCCAATATTGCGAAATTAAATAGAAATAAATGTATAGTACAAAAATATAAAATCGATTAATTTATTATATGTATCTTAGCAGAGATGAGTATAGCTAGGAAACCATCGAGTGTGGCGGAACTGAAGCGAAAGCAAACCACGGCGGTGGTGCTGCTAGGCGTGATAGGAGCTGAATTTGGTCAGGATGTAGCTACGACGAGCCAAAAAAGAGATAACGAGCAGAGACGAAAGAGCTCGATTGTGGAAGGCTTTGGCATAGGAAATAATAATCTTGCCAGACATACCAGCATGGCGCTTACTCATCTATTGCACGCACCCCATTCTTCAAAACTCCCGTTGCACACGCCACTACGAAGAGCTGCGATCGATCTTATTGGCAGAGGATTCACCGTCTGGGAACCCTACCTTGATGTATCAAAGGTAAAAAAATTCGATATCTTGATCTATTAAATTTGCTTCTTGCTTTAATAAATTTTAATAATATAATAATAACAACAAATTATTATTACTAAATTCAATAAAAAATCGTAAAATTAAAAAAAATTTACATATGTATAAATGTAAAAATATTCTTTTATTATGTTTAATTGTAAAATCTTTGATACTGCTTTTTATGGCAGGTTCTGTTAGGCCTACTGGAAATGTGTTGCGACGCGGACAAATTAGTGCCGAGTCTGACATACGGCCTTCCTCTCACGCCGCAAGCCGACACTTGTCGCACGGCGCGTCACGCTTTGACTCTGATCGCTACCGCGAGGCCAGCTGCCTTCATCACCACGATGGCTCGCGAAGTAGCTAGATTTAACACTCTTCAGCAGAATGCTCAGACCTTAAATGTCAATCTGGGTGCGAGTGTCTTGACCAGGGCAAAACCAGAGATTCTCAGGATTGTTGAACAACTGATTGACAAAATGCAGAGCGAGATGAGTGATCTTCTTGTGGAGGTATTTTCGTGATTTAATTTTATTTTAAAATTAATAAAAAAACGAAAAAAGTGAATTTGTATATAATGCATTTCTATACATTTGGAAGTGACTTCGACATTTGAAATTGTTTATAATAATTTACGTAAAATTGTTTGTAGGTCATGGATATTATTCTACATTGCCTTGACCCAGGTCACCTAAAAATGAAACCCTTAAACGAAGTATTTCCGGCAGTGTGTAGATTTAATCAGGTAAGTCGCTTTCAAGATTTGAAAATATATTGCACTATGAATAAATGATTAAATAATTGGTGAATAAATTATTATTATATTCATAATTTAATTATCTGAATCGCACTTCTGATTAAAACTTCATTGTAGAATTCCTCAAGAATTTTCAAGTTAGATACTATATAAAAATGAATCTTTTAATATTTATTATATATGATGTAATATTTCGTTGTATCTATAGAAAAATATCTGTAATCTATTTTCTTAATTTCTCTATCATAGGTCAGTCATTGTCCGGCAACACGCAGGATAGCAGTTGGTGGTCGCGGTGGTCAGTTAGCATTATATGAATTGCGAGGTAACGTCAAATGTCAAACGGTTCCGGCACATTCAGCGCCGGTTACCGCATTAGCATTTTCACCAGAAGGAAAGTTCCTTGTCAGTTATTCCTGTTCCGAGAACAAGCTCTGTTTTTGGCAGGTAAGTAAGCGTGGAAAAAATTGTTCTCTCTTACAATTAAATTTACTGTTAATTCTTTGTCTTTGCTTTCGTTGTTACCAACTAACTTTATTATTTATATATATATGTAACAATATTTTTATACATTATATATATATATATATATATATATATATATATATATATATATTGTATATATTTTATATACAATTTTTGATACACTTTGACTTGCTTGTTTTGCTGGAAAATGACGTATGGTTGTTTGGCGACTTTCTAGCAAACCAGCAGCGGCATGTTTGGCCTGGGAAACTCGCAAACTCGCTGCGTGAAGTCCTATAGCACCGCGCCCATCAATGATGTGGCCCGATTGAATCCTATGCGCTTGGCGCGGCTAATCTGGATCAATAATCGCACGGTCACCTTAATGCTCGCCGATGGCTCGGAAACGCGTTTCAACGTTTGAACGTCACGCGAGACCAGAATTTACCGGAGTTACCAACGATTTCGTTCGGCGAGCAGAAAGCGTTCAGCTTGCACGTCATTTAGCGTCGATTACATCGATCAATCGAGCCTGATTTGTACAATGCTCCTTTATTAAGCAGATCTTTTTTACAAAAGTACTAACGATAAGTAGTACAATAGTAAGATAATATTGACAATATTGTCTAATGAGCAAAGTAGTTTAATAGCACTGTTATAGAATGTCGCTTTGTACTGGTAGATTCTTTGAAAAGAACTATATTTATAGAGCTAATAGATTTCGTCTGTGTATATCAAACTCAAAAAATATACTGGGGAGTTTAGTATTAATTTAAAAAGAACACTGTACAATTCAGGCTTTAGCGCTAATCGTGTTTATTAGATTTTTTTTCTGTTTATGCAGTATTGATAAAAAATGCAATTTAGAGAATTAGCTGATCGAAGCCGTCGGCGTGATTTTAATCTAAATAATTCATGCATCAATCAGGAGCGCCGTTGCCGATTTTGACATTTATTGGTACTTAATTGATAACGCTAGTATTGAATAATTGGATTTTCATTGTATGCATACGGCTGTCCAGGTCTATAATCTCATTTACAATTTTCATTTTAAATAAAATCAGGATTATATAGGCAGCCGTACATGATTCTAAATATATAACCGGCAACAGTTTCTCATGAAAATTAGAGAGATTACGTGACCCGAATTGTTCCTGTGCCGACCTCCCGAAAGTTGCAGTATTTTGCAGTATTTGTAAAGTACATAGTTCGTTTCTCATAGCTGCGAAAAGTTTTAGTTTTATCAACGATCGGATATTTTGTCATACTTAAATATTCGTACAATAGAATTAGGGAAGTAATTTCAATCTATTCATCGTTTTATATCGATCATAGAAGTCAAAGTGGAAAATAACACTAATCTACATGTTGAATTTTTATTCTATATATTGCTCTCTTGAAAATACACTGCGCGACTTTCGGAGGAATATTAAATTTGGACGTTTCGTCGCGCTTTTGTTTATTATTATTTTCTGGGATTATTTAAATTTAAATGATCAGAATCTAAGTCCGTGAATCTCTTGCCGCGTGTTTCTCGAGAAGATGTTTATGAATCGAACATTAATCTGAAATCGTGCATTTCTTGATTTAAATAAATAAAATGTGAATAAAAAACAATAGGAAAAAAGTAGCTAAGAATAGTGACAGAGCACAGTGTCTTTTTCATAAGTATCGTTTGAAGCTCCGTCGCGTCACATTAATTTTTGACGAATATTCCACGATTGATTAACTGACATATTTATTTCATCATTTTAAGATAAACAAGATAGAAGAGCGAGAATATTGGCTCTTCGAGAATAGTCATCCTAAAAAAAAGAAAAAAAAAGAAAAACGCCGCATCACCGCTTTTCTGTCACTATTTCTATCGAATGGAGATCTTTCTTCGTTTGCAAGAGACAGAGTGTTGCGTGCACAGGATATAGGATAATTTATATAATTATTATTGTGTCCCATATACGCGGATTTGCAATGTATCGCGTCACACAAACGCGTACCGGATATGCAAACCATAAGTCGCGTATACAATTCTTTCTTTCTTTTACAGTCAATCTGAAAGAAATGCTTCTAGAATATAAGAACGTTATTTATTTGTAATTTTGTAGTTTAGTGTTAAAATCTTTAAGAGATGTTACGCGATTTATGGTTTGTTCCGTCTGTTTTCGCGATTAATGAAATATGGTGATCCTATTATCGAGATTCAAGCAATGCCTTATAATTGTCTTGGAACGATCAATAGTATAAGGATGTTCTCGATTAATCACGCTTTCTTTCGCAAAAAGATTTTTTAGCAAATGAAGCCGAAAGAATGTATAGATATATATAGCTTTAAATTGTTCATGTAGGGCGGCGTAAGATTGTGCCAGCAGTTATAATTCTGCATCAGACTTTGTACTATTTGTAAGAAGTAATTATAGTTCTCCGATATTTCAAAGTTACCATTTATATGAGTCACTTTAGATACTTGCTTTTATTGTTGTTACGTTTTTAATTGCCGACAAATATGGCTATTTGATTTTAAATTTTATTAGTTATTTAATATGCAGCATTACAAAGAGAGAGAGAAAGAGAGTAACTTTTTAGAATAAATAGTTCAGATTTGGTCTTCCTTGTAATAACATTCCTTAATCGTTTTAGTTCGTTATTGTGAATGTATTATTTAATACCTCGTAATGATATATATAAAATTTAAATTTATAGATATTGTTTAGGATCTATCTGAAATTAATTCAATATCTTGTTACTTGTAAGCTTATCAGTTTATTCTACACTATTTTATGTGGTTTGAGAGATGGTTTTCATTTTCAGTATCTTATAACTAAAAAATATTGATATATTGATTTATTAAAAAAAAAAAATTAATTTAAAATGTTAGAAAGAGATCCATCTTACGTGCGATAAATGTTTTTACATAATTTGAAAGTTCTTTTTAACAAAAGTCACTTACCCTTATTACATTGGTCTGCTAGCGCAATCGTACCCGATCTTATGGTACACTATGGTACACTAGATAGCCGATCATACGTCGCGCAGGCGTGTCTGTGATCGGCATTTTCACGTAGAGCACTTTTCCAGATGTCTTTTTGTTGCGCTTGAAGGAGAGCGATTTAATCCTTCGACCAGTAGTCAAATCTATATTCTTTCTATACCAAAATTGTTTCTAGCAAATTTTTTTCTCTTTTTTTATCAATTGGGTTTGATTGCAATTGATGAACTCACAGCTCGTCCTGTTAAACTGATGGACGATGTGAGTTTAGTAATATATTAGTTTGATTGACCCCAGAGGAACAAGTTATTGCTACTAATTGTGAACGACATGCCGAGCATAAAAAAAATAAACTCGACATGTCGTTCCCATTGTATATAAAAAACGAACTGCGCCTAATTGTATATCTATGTAATTATTTATGTGTACATTATTATATCCGATATGCACCAGTCTCCGCCCGATTCGCGGGCTCGGCTATGAAGCATATTATTATTATATCGGGTAGCGCACAATCGTTCACCCGCTCTCGTTTTACTTGTAATTGTCGACGAATGTAATAAAAAAAAGAAATTCTGAGTTTTATTGTTTTCTTGAATGCATGGAAATCTATTGAGTTTCCTTGAGAATCAATCACTAACTAATAATTGATAAATAGAGATGAAGAATAAATAGAGAAAAGAAAGAAACGTCATCAAGAAAAATTGAAACAATAAAAGAGCGGAAAGAAAGAATAGACATATTTGTAAATTTATATACATACATATACATACAGTTTAGAGTTTTAGAGATATTCAGTTACATATATGCAAAGTTATAATTTAATAAAATTAGAGCATTTATTTATTATAAATTATAATTAAAATTAGACTATTTATTATAATTAAATAATTTAATAAGGCTTAAGCTACTTTGTTATTATATTGTTAACAAAAATATATGTTATTATAATAAAGGAAATTGTTGTAGAAACAATATTTACTAAAACCATACAAATTTATTGAAATTTCGAATATTTACTAATATCTATGTCGGTTTTAAAGTATTGATAAAATAAAAAATCAGATGGGGAGAATTAATTACGTAAAAAATTAGATATATCTATAAAATATATTCGAAAATCGAATAACGTTCAAAAACGAATCCTGCAAAGTAAAATCATTAGAAAATTCATGCACAAAATTCATGCATCACTGTCATGCCACATGCATCATGCTACGATAGATAGAAAATTACATTATAATCAAATATATAGCGCTCGGCCGCAAGGGTATACGGTTACCTCGCGCCTTCGAAAAATAAGCGCTTGCGTTATCTCATATTAAATTGTAAACACCGCGGTCGCGCGAGAGGAGATAAAAAACAGCTATACTAATAACAACTATGAGATGTTACTCGGGTAATAAACAATTATAATAAATGATCGCTCTATAATAATATTAATATAATAATATTAATAATATTAATATTACATAATCCAATTGTATATTATATCAATTTAGATTATTCAACTTTACTAATAAAATAACGACGTTGAAAATAAAGTTGAATAATCTAAATTGATATATAATATATAATTGGATTATGTGTAATCTGACAAATTTTCTTTAAATTATAGAATTATTTCATTTTTTTAACAATTTAAACCAACGAGGACAATAATTTCGAAATTTACATTCAATATTGATCATTTCAAAGCGAATTCGAAATTTATTTGTTTTAGGTGGAATAAGGAATTTTTTTTAAGTTTACAAATATAATTAATAAAATATTGTATAATTATATAACATATGAGCAATTTATATAATATATATAATATATTAGAATAATATAATATATACTTGAATAATTTATAGTATATATTGTTGTTACTGAGTAAAAAATATTTTGAACATTTTAATTCGATATATCGATTCGTATATATCGATTGTGTAGTACTATCGATGATTTCGATCTATGACGTCAAAAACCTCTCTGATGACGTATCAAATTTTTCCCTCCATTCTTGTCTCTTGTTCCTTATCCGGTTTCCCTTTCTTTCTACCCCAGCCGTCTATGAAGCAAGCACGTTGTCCAGCTGAAACATAACCTTAAGCAATCGGAAATACGATAATTTGGTAAGTTTGACCGAAAAATATCTTAAATTTTTAATAAAAAGCAAAGTTAAATGTTATTTGAGGTATTTAAAAGTATTTTGCACGCGAAAATAAATATTCCTTTTTGTATGTTCGGCAATCAAAATTTTTTATAAAAGGAGCATGTATTTCATATCTATATTATAATTAAAGATTTTGTATGAAATATATATATTTAAAAAAGGTAAGAATCTTCTCTCGACCGTACTGGCAAATATTATTTATTCAATCACAACGTTTCGACCCTTCTTCGAGTCCTAAAATTGAATTCGATCACGATTTTGACTGGACTACGCCTGTTATTTTGCATAGTGAAAAACACGTAAGAAAAAGAGAAATCGCTGAAATGTTTTTTATTAAGAAAAATAATAACGCTATTAATTTACAAAGGGATACCGACAATCTAAGTGATATCTACGACAAAATAATAAGGGTCGTTTAGTTTCCAATAACTCGTCTAAGAGTCTTGACGTGTTGTCAAACCGACACTATGTTCGTCCTTGACATCTTAAAATTATAATTTTATTTTTATTTTTACAAGTATGTTTCGCTTCTTTTTATCATTTTGTAATATTGTTAGTGAAGTAATTTTGTTTTTTATTGTATTAATCTCTGTCTATGTATATCTAGATCACTTGATAAGGACTCAAAGAAGGGTCGAAACGTTGTGATTGAATAAATAATATTTGCTAGTACGGTCGAGAGAAGATTCTTACCTTTTTTAAATTCTGTCTGGCGATTCTCAAATATCTACGTTCTTATTATATATATTTAATTATATTTTCAGAATTTGAATACGTACCAATCTACGTATTAATTACTAATCCTAGTTTGCATCTCAAATATATACTTTCAAATGAAGACTAAAGTAGATAAGAAAGGAAAGAAACGATCGCTGAGTGAGACTTCTCTTTCTGCAAAGTCAACTCTGAAGCAGGAGAATGTAATTGAATCCAAGAAAAGTCCTAAAAAGGCCAAACTTGCAACTTCTGCACAAAATGGGAACTCTACAACTCAGAATAAAGTGCAAATTCTCAAGAAGATGTACAAACAAAAAGAGAAACAGAAAACGAAACAACAAATTAATATAGGGCAACCATTAATAACAAAGAAAAAGACAGAAATTAAATTACCTATTGCTAAACTCAAGGAAGAATCTGTTAGTAAAAAAATAAAAACTAAGGAAAATAAATTAGAAAATTTGAAGAAGAAGCAAGCAAAGCGTGAAGTACATAAGAAAAGACGAAGGCGTTTTCTAAATGCTGCATCTACGCTTAGTATAGAAGAGATGGAAGCAAAAATAGAAGAAATCAGGAATAGGGAAGTGTTGTCAAAACGAGCAAAAAAAATGTTGTCTGCACTTAACAGAAAGCTTAAATATGAAAAGTCGGCAAATAAATTGGAGAAGGAAAATAGCCAACATGAGGAAAAGAATGAAGCGCAGAATAAGATAAAAGAAAAAAAGAAATATGTCCACCATCAAGTTAAAAACGAATTGGAAATGGACGATCAAGATGACAGTGATGATCAAGATGATAATGAAGATGACAAGGATGAAAATGATGAAGATCACAGCGATAAAGAAGAATCTATAGATAATATTAATGAACAATTTGACGATGAAAGCGAAGAAGATGATGAATCTAAAGATGATGAAGAATCTGAAGATGATAAAGAATTTGAAGATGATGAATCTGAAGATGATGAAGATGATATAGATGAGAAAGCAAATATTTTAAAAGGAAAAAAGGAGGAAGTAAAAGAAAGAAAGAAACCAGTTTTAGAACATCAGAAGAAAAACGAAAACATCCTTTTTGTGGGCAATTTACCATCCGAGTAAGAGCATATATTCTTATTTTCTAGAATAAATTTGTAAAATTAATGTAAGTACAGGCCAACTCAAGAGCATAAATTATTAAGGTGTTAATGAATATTTATTTATTTTCTAACATATTTTTGTTTAATTTTTTTCATAAATCCAAATGATTATTTATAGCTGGTCACCCCATGAGCTCGAACAACATTTCTTGACCAAGGTTAATAAAGTAGCTTTTATTCGGAGGCCAACTAAAGGACATGTAAAAAAATTTGCATTTGTGTGTTTGACAAATAGTACAGATTTGGAGGTAAAAAAAAGCAATTTATTATAATTTATTGATATAATTTATTGATATAATTTATTGATATAATTTATTGAACGTTCTTATATCTTTCTACTTTTGTACTTTTAACAGAAAGGACTCTCACTGAATCAATCACTCTTCAAGAAAGAACAGATCAAGGTAGAAGTCTTAAAACCTAATGATAAAAAGATGAATAAGGTCAAAAATTTTGCAATTGCCAAGAAGAACCCGCAAGCGCTTAAAAAAGCAAAAAAAATTAATTTAAGTCAGATCCAGCAAAAAAAGAAATCAATAAAGAAGGAGAAATAATACTATAGATCAAAAAGCTTAATAATAACAGTTCTATAAAATAAATATAATAAAAATAATTAACAAAGCGATTATATTTGCAAGATTATCATTTAAAAATTTAGTCTTATGAATGAGATATTTTAAAACACAGAATTTTTATATTAATGATAAAAAGGATTGTTTTTTTCTTCACGTAACAAATAATTTTCTATAATTATTTGTCATTATTTTAAATATATAATCTGTTATATACAGGGTGTCCGGTAACTAACGGACTAATGATTAAGGGCGGATTCTCTGGCCAATTTGGAGACGATTTTTTCTTAGCAAAAATGTTGAGAAGTCAATAATTTTCGAGTTATAAGCGATTGAAAAAAATAGGTTTTTTGAAAACTAAACGTTTTGGAGTTAAAAGTCTAACATAATTACATTCTTCAGTTAATTTCAGGTAGAGTTTATTATAATAAAATTTTAATTTGAGGCTTAGTTATAAAGATACTGACTAGTTATAAAGATAATTACAAATATTGGAAAGTTGTAAAAAATGATGACCTTTTTCGACATTTTCGCTGAGGAAAAATCGTTCCCAAATTGACCAAAGAATCCATTTGTAATCGTTGATCCATTAGTTACCAGATACCCTGTATATTAACAATTATTTTATATACAGGGTCAGAGTTGGCAAAATATCAATTAAATTTTTTAAAATTGAACAAATGATATGAACAGATTTAATTAAAATATTTTGAATTGACGATTTTTTTTAGAAAGATTAATCGGAGAGCGATCGATTAAACTATTAATACAAGCTAATTTAATTGAAAGTTTTTCAATTAAACGATTAATATGAGTTAATTTTAATAGAACTACTTTAATGGACGATTGAAAAAAACATTCAATCGAAGACAATTCAATTGACAATTGATTTGAGCAGTTAAAAAGTTTTTGAGTGATTTGAACAATTAAAAAGTATATAATTGACGATTAAATATAGCAAATCCATTAATTGACGTAAGAAAATCGATATAATTTCTCTATTTCCATTAATTAACTATGTGTAACGATTAATAAAATTTAAATAAATTTAATCGAAGATGTTTGATGATATTATAACATGATTGAATTTAAATAAATTCTGTACGGATATATGTGCGTATAAGCGTAAATATCTTGTTAAACGGAACTTTTCCGGGCTTTGTTTAATAACAAATAAAGATTTTTCTGTGAGAAATAATCTAAGTTTATGCAACCCTACTTGTATTTTTTGATATGTATATTGTATATGTATTTGTATATGTATATGTATATTGTATATGTATATTGTATATGTATATTGTGTGTGTCTATATATATATATATATATATATATATATATATATATATATATATATAGACACACACAATATACATATACAATATACATATATATATATATATATATATATATATATATATATATAGACACACACTAATATATACACCTATATATTGAAAGAATTTTGTTGCGTCAAAATTTCTTTTTCTCTATTATTTGAATTCATTATAAAGTACTTGTAAATATATCACTTATCAGAACATAAATGTATAATTTAAATATTGCATTGCATCTTTAATTTGTAAACATGATCTTACGTATGTATGTGTAGAACAAACGAGCGCGTATATTGAATAAACATTCGCATTAATCGCATTCAGTATGGACATTTTTGACATTTAATTTAATTGTAAAAACATCTGTTCATAAATAGAACTAATTCTCATTTATAGCTTCGCATTATTCTAGTTTTGCGATATCAGTAATGCATAATTCTGCATAAAGAATTCCATTGGCAGAATTTTATTCTGCAAATAACTTAAAAACAGAAGTAGCAATGCATATAGCAATATATTCGAGGTTGCCATTTTATAAGTTAAATTGAATATTTTTTATTAAATATTTAATGTAAAAATGGCAGTTTCGGTTAAGTTAGATACAAATGAGTCTCTTAAAAATGAAGATATATCATCTAAATTCGTAGAGGTATTTGTACATTTTTTTGGATATATTTGGTTATAATATCAGCGATTAACACGCGAAAGTTTCATATGTAATGGACTATTAAACAAATATATTATTTTATTTTCCTTATTACTCGTATTCTACAGTTTGCTTCTTTTATATATGGGCTACTTTTATATAGGGACAGTTTCCCGAACGTATCATATTCCCAGAGGAATTAAATAAATTTTTGCAAGATCGCATTCATGTAAGTATAATAATAATCTGATGTATATGTAAATCTAAAAGTAAAAAAAAAAAAAATACTGATTGTGTAAAATAAAAATATGTATCTGCTCTATAATCTATTTATATCTCTTTATTCCTTATTACAATCTCCGTATTATATATTCCGAAGTTATATTACTAAGAAAAATAAAAAGAGCGAAAATAATTTTTTGAACAAAAAATGTAAATCTCTCATCTATAAATATTTTATTTTTATATTTTTACACAATGTGTTACAAATATTTTTATAATAATGTTTATTTCATTTTTATTCTGTAATTTATTAATTAATTCAATATCGCGTTCAAACAATAATTGTATGACAGGATTTAACAGCGGAGAATGAATGTTTGCGACGAGCGTTTGAGCAAGCAGAGGAGAAGTTGCGTAAACTGTCACAAGAAAAATTGAATTGGCAAAATGCAATAGGAAAGTCGTCTGAACCGGCTAAGACAAAGTTAATGGAACTTGGCAAGAAATATAGAAATCAAATCGCCGAAATGGAAACTCTAAAAACGAAGTGCAAGAATTTAGAAGCCACTCTGCTTATCAAAGATGACGAGCTGGAGCGCCAAAGAGCGGAATTGCAACAGATTCTCAAATCTGAAACGTACAAGAATTTCGGTAATAGTGAGTTCGTATTTTCTTCCCATTTGCAAGCAATATAGCTAAATTGCAATTTCGAATTAAATAAATTTGAGTTATACTAATAAAAAACTTTTTGAAAAAGTAGATATTAATTTCTCGACTATATATTTGTATAAATAATTTTTAACTGACTATTCCGTGATTGTTTTACACATTTTATGATTGTAATATCAAAAAAGATGGAAATCAGAATAACACAAGGGAAAAAGATTCAAAGAATAATTTATCAAGCAAAGATGATGAACGAATTAAATGTTTGAAAAACAAGCTGCAGCGAGTTCAAACAAAACTTTGTGAATCTAGAAATACATGCGCTATTCTTCGACAAGAGATTAATAAAGCACAAAAGGTATTATATATTGTGTTCTCTATAAGCTTAATTAATGTCAAATAAATAACTAATTTTTAGATAGAAAAAGTCAAATGTCAGTGTTTTCAATTACTTTTGATAAAAAATGATAAAGATTTTAGGACCTTTGTAACTTTCGCAAATATTTATATAAAAATGCAAGGCATGTTATATTTATTTTTTATCACGTGATTGAAGATTCTAAATTTCTCTATATGGAATTATCACTAAGAATACAAGTCTCAGTTGTTGTACAGCGAAGTGGGTGAAAATATTAATATCAACACGCTTTCGAGTATACCGGGTAATTGGCGTGGGCGAGCCGAGCAAATTCGAAATTTGCAACAGAAAGTGGCAGAACTGCAGATCAAATTGTCTGAACACGAGAAATCGCAGAAAGAATCTTCTGGTAGGGGAAAAAATGTATAAAGTCTTATTCATGTATATTTAAATGGACTCTTCACGATTATAATTAGTTTTATTTATAAATTATTTTATATATTATTATATTATTGTTCCAATTTTATATATTTGTTTCAACTTGTTCACATATATATAAATTTATAATTTAAGTTCATAATTTGATATAACTTTATAATTATTTATTAAATTACATTATTTATATAATTGCACAATTTGTATAAATTGAGACTCTTATAGTTGTGAATATTTATTTATTTTCTTACAATATTAAATCATTTATTTAGTTATCCTAGATCGACAAAATATAGCAAATCTCCGAATTGTTGAAAAGGAAAGACGACAACAGATCGAAAATACAGCGAAGGAATTGAGACAAGCAGAAGTAGCATTGGAGACTTCGAAAAGGAAGCTCGATGCTTCCAAAGCGAGAATAAAAGTATTGGAACACGAATTAAATATCGCGAAGGGGAACATTGCGATGCTGAATGAAAAAAGATCTCATGATGATCGTCTGATCGACGCGCTTAATGTTAGTGATAGAAGATATTTAATCTAAATAATAAAGAATCAATTGCAAACCAGTGTCTACTTAGTACTATGAAAAAATTGCAGTACATAGTAGATTGCAAAATTTTTTTAATGCATGCAAATGATATGATACGTTATCAGGAACGATTGAAAATTGTCGAGGCAAGATATCAAGAGCGCGAAATGGAAGTGCAGAATAAGGAACATAAGATCGAACGTGAGAATGCAAATATAAAAAATGAGCTTCGAGCAATGCAATTACACGTCGATCAGTTGTGCAGAAGATTGGAGGAACGCGAGATCGAGATCGACAAGTTGAAGTTAGTACAAATTAGAGATATTATATATAAATAAATGTATAAAAAAATATATACAGAGTGTATTCAAATAAGTGCGAAAAATTTTAGGATGATTTTTTGTTAAAATTTAAGGGGGGTATCTTATATAAATATATAGTCTTATATCCCTCCCTGAAGAGTTGCACTTTTCTAATTTCTAACTTCTAAAACAAATTAAAGAAATAAAACCGATAAATATCCACCAAGTTTAATTTCTTTAATTTGTCTAAAATTTGAGAAAAAAATAAAAACTTAATTTTTACTTTCCTCTTTAGAAAAGTGTAACTCCTCAGGGATATAAGAGTATCCTTTAATTTTCGACAAATAATCATTGAAAATTTTTCACACTTATTTAGATACACCCTGTATATAATATATAAATATATATTATATATAATATACAATATACAATATATTATTTATTAGATATAATATAGTATGCAATGTGTAAACTAATTTACAAGAAAAATAATTCTGATCGTCAAGAATCGATTTAATGAATAAGTGGCTGAGACAACCATTCTTTTTTCTACTTATAATTAGAAAATTTAATTTCTGTGATTTCTCGTGTCCACACATACAATCAGATTTGTAGTTACATCGGTTCAATAAATAAATAATCTACACCTTTGTTTCTTAATTTTAGAAATGGCATCATATCGAATGAATCTCTGAAGTGTCAAACCCCGTTTCGTTCAGATCTCCGGTTAAAAGAGGAGCACCAGATTAGTCCACTCACTAGTTCGCGAAATTTAGGCGAAGCAAATGAATATGTAACCTTGGCTCTAGCTGCCGAAGCCGAACGGGTGAGACTATTAGAACTGGTAACCGTGCTCAATCAACGCTTGGATAAGGAAAGAAACGAAGCAAATTCATTTATAGTAAGTTATGAAATTCATATTAAGTTTGTTAGAAAATTCTAGGATAATTCATTCGACGTTCAAAATCTATATGAAGAAGATTTATTAAATTTTTCTAATTAATATATTAAAATGTTTATTCAATAAAAAATGCAACAAGTTAATTTATATTTTAATTTTATGAAAAATTCTTTGATTACTTAATTATATATATATACCATATATATATAGATATATATAATTGTTAAATCGAAATAATAAAGAAATTCAAATTGTATTTAAAATTGTGTATAACATTTTTTGCAGATTTTTATGGAATTTTGTAAAATTTGATTATTTATTTAAAGGAACTGCTGCATAAGGAAAAAAGTAAATGTGCGAAATTAGAGTCAAAATTGCGGAATTTGGAAAAAGAAAGAGTGGGTCTTGTTAAAGTGGATTCCGGATATCGAGCAAAATCTTATACAAAATCCATGTTGAGTTTAAGATCCGAAGAAGAAACTATCAATTCCGAAGAAGTTTGTTTCAAGTAAGTTATTTGCTATGATAAAAAAATGTATCCTTTCTTTATAATTTAAATAATTTTAATGAAAAAATAATATATATTAGGTATTTTTTATCTATATCGTTTCCTATCTTTTTTATGTTTGAATCTTTATTTAGAATCGAATTATTAGAAGAGGAGTGTCTCGCCCTGAAGGCCAGATTAGATACTATACAACAGGACAAAGTCTCAGATCTCGCCATGTACAAACAAATGCTGGATCAAGCTCGAAAAACGTTCAAAGATGCATGCAGGTGAATCTTTAAATCAGTCCAAATTTAAATTTTCGCAAATACACACAAGCCAAATTTGAATTACGTTTAGTAACCGTACATGTGTGTAAATATGCATGTATGCTTTGCAAAGGACAATTAGCTAATCTCACGATGCCACTTTCCAATATGGCCTTCTAGAAATAGACTCGTGTAAGAAGTGCAGACGAGACCAAACATCTATTTTTAGGTTTTCATCTATTGCTTCTGTGAAATGTATAGCGCGTAAAAATCTGTCATAATTTTTTTCTTTCTGTCTAATCAATAATTGTTAAAAACTACCATTATTTTTTAAAGTAATGCATCAAAAAATTATTAGTTTGTTTAATATCAATTGCATAATTATCCCTAGCAATCACGATATTGTTAAGCAAATGTTCCATATTAATATATTATTTTCTCAACATTTATATACTTTTTTTCTTCCCGGCCTCTCATTTTCCTATATTTTTAATCAAAGTAGTGTAAGACTAATTTAACTTCGGCCTGACTAATTCTTTTCTGTTATTTTCTTATAATAGAAAATCATAAATATTTTTTTTAGGAACAAACCATTGATCGCGGGTGGAAGTCGTTCTACTGTAACAATTTAAAAAAGAAAAAAAGAAGAAAAGACGAAGCGATATTCGAAAAATAAATTTCAGGCTTTAATCTCAAGTTATTTTTTTCAGGGGGAAAATAACTGTGTTACAAATAAAATAAAACATTCTTACACATATATAGTACACGCAACAGTCGTCTGCGATCGGAATAGATGAAGTAGCAACAAAGCCGCGGCTCGCGGTGATGTAACTAGGACACGAGATAAGGTGCAACGCTTCCACGTAAACCCGCGTGACATCGTCGGAACAAAACTCACAGTTTCGTTTCTACCTCGCGTCGTTCCTCTCCGGTCCCTCTTAACATCGCTCTGATGTTTACCTCGGTCAATTCGTTTATTCTCGCCATTGATATCGCGACGCGGCCGTAAATTCATCCCGCTTTTCCTTACTCAAGAGTAGAACGCGAGACGATTCCCAATCTCACGCTCGAATCTAGTCGGGAGTTTGAAAGTTTTTGGCGACAATGCGTTCCCAAGAGCATGCAAATGGGATTTTACATCGCGCTGCGATATAGATAGCAAAATGAAAAAATTCCATACACATATTATTATATATGCCTACATTTTTATATAAGATGCTTAGTAAAGTGTAACTTCGTATCCTGATATATACTTATTCTACGTATCTACAAAATAAATAAAATTTTGATTTAAATAGTTGTTTGTAATAGAACAAGAGTAATTCACTTTGTATGTCTACATTTTAATTTTTAGGTGTGTTCATCAAATATGCAGTTTATCATATATTTTAGACTTGTATAACATGTCTCAAATATTGAATCGTTTATCGAATCATACTAAGTTTCTGATGTCCTATTTAGAATTGTATAGTTAACTTACCTACATTTCTTTTACATTAGAAGAAAAAGAGAGAATTCTCTGTCCATTTTACATAACCGTTTCATCAATAGCAATACTCGTTTGCAAAGTGTATTCTACTATTTTGATCAATCGCCAAGTTCCATCATCGTCTTCAATAATTCTTGTGCAAGACGATTAATATTCGAAAGTGTAGATATTTGATTTTCTCATTATGATCAATTTTTACAACGCGTTTAAATTTTCAAATATTTATCATATACACATATCTTTCACATTTTTTATATCTCTTACATTTTTGAATAATAAAAAGCGAAAGCTCTGCATTTATTGTTGTTGATTTACCATAAACGATTTTAAATAAATATTAAATGCTAATAGACGTCTAATTCATGACTTTTAATCTTTGAATGACTCGAGATCAAACACACGATTTCCTCTCTCGTTTGATCATAAAGTATTAAAAACTATATAGAAATTAAAAATTTATTAAAAAAATAGACAATTAAAATATGAGAAAAATAGATGTTTAAGCGCATTTCGAAATGTCAAACGTGAACCGAGTGTCACCGAAGCGATTCCAAATGCCAGAATGTATACCGGCGAATTACGGGTGGCGCTTCACGAGAATTTTTCGTCACCGTCATCGTCGTCGTTGAGCGAGCTGGGCGTGTTTCCGATGGTGCTTAAGCTCATCGCCGACAGGTGTGGACTTTACAGGTGTTGGAACTCCTGGCTGATAAGAAACGCGCCCGTGACGTCAGATCGGCGCGGGTAGAGTATATGAGTCGACGCCGTGGGATGTCCACGTCACTCGTTCTTGAACCTCCTCCGTCCGTTCATTCCGCCAAGTCGTTTGCCGTGAATTTTTTTTTCGCCATATCGCCGGCTGCGATCAACACCCTGGTACCGCGCCGATCATCATCATCATCTGGAGGTCCAGGCCGGAAACTCCGTCGCAACGCGACGATTAATTCCGCGACTCCGTCAGATTTGTACAGGTAAGCTAGATGAATTGGTCGGTGGTTCGTCATCGGGATCGGCTCAGAAATCGGATATCGAAACGGATGGCGCCAACGACCTAATCGTATCCCATCGAAACCAATGGACCAACAAGTGTAAATATATTTTAAAGTCCATTTTCTATTCACACTTATTTTTTATATATCTATCTATTATAAATCTTAGATTTTCATGTTATTCGAAAAGTGTGAGAATTGAATTGTGAAAGATGAGGATAAATATTAAAAGGTACACATTGATATGATAAGATTGGTCGATTTCTACATAAAGTGTCTCATGAGTTCACGAAACTGATGCTCTTTTTCTCTGAGAATACATTTTCTCACTTACTCATATGTTCGTCTTTTCATATGCAAATTTCAATGGAACAATCGTGCATTCGGGGCAATACGAAACGTACGCTCCATTTTCATTATGTAACACGCGAGGTCGTTACTAAACTCATCGGCCTATGGAGATGATAATTTCACGATATGCGCATGTCAACCCTAACGATGCCGAAATATTTTTTACCGGAACCGGTTAATTGCGACTGATTAAATATTCAAAAGTATAAGTGAAAAAAGAAATAGCTCGAAAAGAGTATACAAGTAAAAAAAGAAATAATTTTACATCAATTTTTCGATTTCTCTTATCATGATTGTACGTATTAAACTGAAAAATTATACTTGATCGATCGGATTATTAATTTCTCATTTCGTAAATTGACAACAAATGGGAAACTTGCTAAGATAAACTTTAAAATAACTTTAAATTATAATGTTAAAAAAATTAATTCTAATTTTACACATTTGCTTAAAATGCCTTTATCTTCTATATTAGATTTGAAGTAGATATTGTTTTCTCTTTCTCTCTCTTTCTGCAATATTGCCAGACATGATGACATTTGCCAATAATAGGGCGAACGTTAATTAACAAATAATTAATAATTAAATCTACAGTCAATAACAATTTGCTCAATTATCGATATACTATTTATAAAATCAGAATTTAGATCAAATATTTATATGTTGCTGCTTAAATATTACAAATTAAATTATATGTTAACAACTGTATCTATCGCTCGTTTAAAGTTTATTAAAATAAATTGAAAAATTTTTGTGTTATCTAATTAAAACTTAAAATTATTTATAACATGAAAACAGAAAAAAATATGCCAAATATAAAAATTGTAGAGAATAAATTATAAAAAATTATGGACAATAATATTATTTAGTACTAAATATAATATAAAATATATATAGTGTAAATAAAATAATATTTTAATGCTTTAATGTAAATACAAGTATTATACGTTTACTATTTAGCTATATAATAGGTAATATTATTTTATGTTTCTGTAACAAAAATGTTTCTTTATAGTTATATTAAAATATGTGCCACTTGCAGTTATTAAATTATACTTCATTCTTCTTATTTCTTATTTTTATAAAGGATTACATATATTTATATATTAAAAAAATAATTAACGTATTAAAACAATAGAATAATAAAATATTTTCATTTAAAATATTTTGATATATATTTAAAAACAAGAATATTTGTTTTCTCTTGTTTGCAGTTTATGACAAATTATTACAAATTAACGACTCGTTAATGTTCAGTGAAGGCGATGTCAAAATGATTGATAATGAATATAAAATGAGCGATAAATATATACTTTGATACCTTCCATTAAGGTATCAAAACTATTAGGTAATCGATCAGAATAATTTAGACGTAAATTTTTAAAAATCCTGACTTTTGACGCAAATTTTATTATAAAAAAACTTTGCTATATAAGCATTTTGCGTAAAAAAATAATTACGTATAATATTTATAGTTTTATAAAATGGAAAAAATTGGATCTATCTTTTAACATTTTATATAAAGTTAAACAGACAATATCTTCATCATTTAAAAAATATTTTTATCAATTTATTGTATACAATATAATTTTTCTTTCTTTAATATTCGCAATTTTTGTGATAATAAAATATTATCAATTAAATTTTAGAATAATTAAATTGGAATAGACATAATTAAATTTTTGCAAAATGCGATTTTTCATATTATGCGTTTTTATTCAAAATAAGAAATAAAAATAAAAAAATTTTATAAATTATATATATTAATAATTTTTTTACATATTTTTAAATTTTTTTATAAAATATGGAAAATAAATTTATTGCTCGTTTCTATTATATTATTTCCAGAGATATTATTGATAAGTTTAAATATAAATTATTTCTTTAAGTATAACAATCCTTATACATGTACAGAGTAAAATATTTAAAGCATAAAGCATAAAGCACATAAAACATAAATTATAATTTTTAAAGTTTAATTTCTTATAAATATATGATGATCGCAACAACATGATAATAAAGTCGATTCTTGATATTAATATTTTCTTATTACATTAGTTTTTATAATATATATATAAATCAGGAAATAAAATTATAATTAATTATTAGAATATTAATCATTATTCATATCAATAATATATATTCTTGAATAACATGATAATATAAACAGAAACAGGCAATAGCTATTTTTCATATGTTATGAAAAACTTGTCAAATTTTATTATTATTTTTAAATATAATTTTAACTTTATATTTTATCAATATTTTAAAATATTACATATATATTCCATAGAAAAATTATTATGTGTATATTAAAAAGTTGGTTATTAAGCATAAAACATAACACACAGACATTAAATAATATTAATTAAAATATTAAAAATCTCGTATATTTTTAAAAATTAAAATTTAATTAAATGTGTTTTCTAATCTATATCTTTTTGTAATACTATATTTTACATATAGTTTTTTCCTAATTTGATAGCTACATCAAAACTAGTTTTTTAATTGCTATCGACATCAAATGACAATTATAGCTAACAAAAGTTTAATCACGAATGACGACGCAAAATAATAGAATGTTTACCAAAAGAAATTTGTAAAAATATAGAAGAAATTTTATAAAAATTCTCTCTCTCTCTCTGAAGGACATTTAATTATTTTAATAAATATTCTAATTAAGTTGTACTTATTAAATACTGATATAATTAAAGCTATTATTTTTTCAATAATGTATATCTATCAATATTTGTATATATACTTAATTAATAATGTAATATTTATAAACTTTTATATTTTTGTATAAATTGTAAAGCAAATGCTTTTATCGTAAATAGAACAAGTGCGACGTAATTCGCATTATCGAGCTGTTTTATTTTATTTCTTTTATCTCGTAGTGGGACAGTTTTACGGCAGTCTTAGCGAGTCTTCTCGAAAATAATTCGTCAGTGAAGATAAGATTTCGTTGTGAACGCTCGTGCGAGCTTGATTTGCATAGAATATTACATCATCAAATTAAAAATTTCAATCTGTAATCGTCTCATATCAATTATTTATCAAATCGCCTCAACAATATCACGTCAAGATAGTAATGCGTCTAATAAACTCGTTCATTTAATAAAGGTGATTCGATTCAATTACGCTCGTTTATTAATTAACATCCAGAAATCGCACTCATAAGATCCCGAAGTTTATACGGTATTGTTATTTTCTTAAAAATAAAGAAAGAAAAAAAATGTTGCGGCACGATCTCGTGCTCCATAATAGAAAAATGTTGTCTGTCGTAAGCGACGAGAGGAAAAAATATGTCGACTGCGAATGGACTAAAAATCGATTACGTAATGCAAACGTGTAAACTACCGGAGAGGACGTGCAGCCACTTGTAAATTAACACGGTTGTAATTAATGCA